AATATTTTGTCAAGATTTATTTTGCCATGACCCCTGAAAGGGTACGGGCTAAGGCTTAGGGGGGGCGAAGGCTAAACACCAGGGCTGGCTCCTTACCTTAAAAATCCCTGAGTGGGGGACGGCGAGCCGTCCTCCCATCACTCACCTGGGGTAGTCTGTATTCCTTTCTTTGGTTTTGTATGCGTACAAGACAGTAGATAGACAGAGTAGAAGGGATCTCCGACCGCGTACCTCCGTCTATATACTGTGGTACATGATGGTACAATACCGCCGCCACCTTGCCTCTCTCAAAAGGCAGTGGCGAAGATCGCCTCGGCGGGGTCCACCGCCGCCACTTTGTCGTCCTTGCAGTACGTGCGGCGCTTGGCGCGCGGCACGTCGTCGGTGTGGTCGGGCAGCACACCCTGAGACAGAGAGAGAGAGAGAGAGAGAGAGAGAGAGAGAGAGGGAGAGGGAGAGAGGGAGAGAGGGGGAGAGAGAGAGAGAGCGAGGGAGGGAGAGGCGTGAGCAGCACCTTGCAGCCGGCCACTTTCCCGACGGCGCCAATCTTGAAGGTTTGCAGCACGTCCGCCGTGCCCGTGAGCGAGCCGAGCGCCTTGTTCGGCGGCGGTCGGATGTGGGTGCACATGAGCGCGCGCACGTCGTCGAGCAGGTCGTACACGATCGAGTACTCCTTGATCTCGACGTTGCACTGCTCCGCCGCCTGCGAGAGCGAGGGAGCGGCAGGCGGCGGTGCCGTCACAGGACGAGGCAGAAGAGAACGACGCGACAGAGGAGGAAGTGACAAGGGAGAGAACGACGAGAGTGGGACGACCGCGAGGTGGCATGAAGGTTGCAGCGAGAATCGGCGAGGGGCTGCGAGGAGAGAGAGGAAGAGGCAGACGCCAAAGGGTGGGCGACGGCTAGCACCACCACTCCCCTCTCCTTAACATCCCTGTGTGGTGGCGGCGTGCCGTCCTCCTCCCCCCCCCCCCCTCCCTTGGGCCCGGCGGCTTTCTTTCTTTCTCTCTGCTCCGCCGGCCTCCCGCGTCGGCCGCGCCGCCACCGAGTTGAAGCCGAGCACGACCGCGTTCGAGACGGACGCGAGCATGACGTCCTCCGCGGTGATGGCGCCCGCGCCCGAGCGCAGCACGCGCGTCCGCACGCGCAGCAGGTCGTCCGACACCTCAATCGACTCGAGCGACGAGCAAAGCGCCTCCGCAGACCCCTGCACGAAGGGGATGGGTTCGGGTACCGTGGGGGTAGGGGATGGGTTCGGGTAACGCGGGGGTATGGCTGACCTGGGTTCGGGTGCCGTGGGGTAGGGGATGGGTTCGGGTAACGCGGGGGTATGGCTGACCTGCACGTCGCTCTTGACCACGAAGTCGAGCGTCTTGGTGGGCAGCTCCGAGGAGGGGCCCGACAGGAACGCGTCGCGGTCGGCGGTCGAGCGCGACGCGAAGAGCTTCGACGCCCGCGCGTCGCGCTGCAGCTGCTGGCGCACCTCGGCTATCTGGCGCGCCTATGTCTCCTTGGCGACTCGCCATGACCGGCACATACGAAGGAGTGGCTCGCGGAGCGTGTCACGATTGCCTTTGTCTCCTCGCCAGTCACGATGAACGCGTCGCCCGCCGCGGGGAGGCCTGCAGCCGCAAGGCCAGCACGGCGCGGCTTATAGGGCACGAAGGAGTTAGGGCGCGTCGGCAAGTGGGGCCACGTACTAACGAAGGCCGCTTCACCACCTTCCCACGCCGCGTCTGCCGCTCCCATTCTGGCTCAGGCCGCCCCGTGCTTGGTGGCGACACCGAGCCAGCTCGTGGCACTAGCTGGTGTTAGCGGAGTGCTGAGTCTCGCGCGGAGTCGAACCCTCCCCTACCCCCACGGTACCCGAACCCATCCCCTACCCCCCATACCCGGACCCATCCCCTACCCCCCCACGATACCCGAACCCGCGCGGTGTCGAGCCAGCCCCGCCGCGAATCGCGCGGGCCGTTGAGACCGACCAAGACATCTCGCTATCTCGCTACATCTCGGCTACATCTCGCTATCTCGCTACATCTCGCCACCTCTCGCTACATCTCGCTACCTCTCGCTACATCTCGCGCGGGCCGTTGAGACCGACCAGCTCGACGGCGGTCGACGGCCCCGACTCACTCACCTCCTCGTTGCGCTCGTCCTGCAGCCTCCGCACTCGGCCCCACTGCGCGCCGGCCACGACGATGTCGCCCACCCGCAGCGTGCCCTTCTGCACGAGCGCGGTTGCGACGGCGCCCTGGCCGAGCTGCTGCCGCGCCTCGACAACCACGCCGGCGGCGGCGCGGTCCGGGTTGGCTTTGAGGTCAAGGAGCTCCGCCTGCAGCTGCACCTGCGAGAGCGGAGATGGGTTCGGGTACCGTGGGGGTAGGGGATGGGCTCGGGTACCGAGGGGGTGGGGTATGAGTCCCGCCTGCTCGAGCAGCTTGCCCCTATCTCCCCCTATCTCCCCCTATCTCCCCGTATCTCGCACCGGCTCGAGCAGCTTGTCCAGGCCGGTGCACTCTACCCCCACGGTACCCGAACCCATACCCCACTACAGCGGCACCTGCTCGAGCAGCTTGTCCAGGCCGGTGCACTCTACCCCCACGGTACCCGAACCCACACCGCACTACAGCGGCACCTGCTCGAGCGGCTTGTCCAGGCCGGTGCACTCTACCCCCACGGTACCCGAACCCATACCCCACTACAGCGGCACCTGCTCGAGCAGCTTGTCCAGGCCGGTGCGCGCGACGGCAGACACCTCGGCGGACAACACGTCGCCGCCAAACTCCTCGAGGACAACCTCGTGCTCCAGCAGCTGCGTCTTGACCTAGGGTTAGGGTTAGAGGGTTAGGGTTAGGGTTAGGGTTAGGGTTAGGGTTAGGGTTAGCTCCAGCAGCTGCGTCTTGACCTGCGACGCGTCCGCCGCCGGCTTGTCCATCTTGTTGACCGCCACGACGATCGGCACGCCCGCCGCCTTTGCCGCCTGGACCGACGGCACCGCGGGGGTAGGGGATGGGTCCGGGTATGAGGGGTAGGGGATGGGTTCGGGTACCGTGGGGGGCTCGGGTACCGTGGGGGGTTGGGGGATGGGTTCGGGTACCGTGGGGGTAGGGCATGGGTTAGGATACCGTGGGGGGTAGGGGATGGGTGCGCGGGTACCTTGATCGACGACACCGTCTGCTCCTTGACGCCGTCGTCGCCTGCCATGGCCAGAGTGTCGCTGAGAGTGGTCTGGAGAAGGTCTGGAGCCAGGCTCCTCTGAGTCTGACGATGCGGCGCGCGGCGTCGCTGGGCACCCATCCCCTACCCACACTGGAGCCGAACCCTGGGGAGATTGCGATCTCGGGCGACGTATACCCGCAACGACGAGGATGACGATATCGGTGACGTTGGCGCCGCGCGCGCGCATCTCCGCAAAGGCGGCGTGGCCGGGCGTGTCAATGAAGGTGAGCGTGCCGCCGCCCTCGACGCTCACCCGCGACGCGCCGATCGCCTGCGTGATGCCCCCCGCCTCGCCCGCGGCGACGTCGGTCGTGCGCAGCGCGTCGAGCAGCGAAGTCTTTCCGTGGTCGACGTGCCCCATGACAGTGACGACGGGCGGACGGCGGACGAGCGACTCGGGCGGGTCCTCTTCCTCGACCACGCCCCACGAGCCCGCCTCCCCCTCCTCGCCCTCCTCGGCGCCGTCGCCCGCTCGCGACACGTCTGCGCCAAACGCCAGCGCGACCGCCTGCGGGAGGCGTCTCGGAAGTGTCTCGGCCGTGTCGCGCAAGTGTCTCGGCCGTGTCGCGGAAGTGTCTCGGCCGCGTCGCGGAAGTGTCTCGGCCGTGTCGCGGAAGTGTCTCGGCCGCGTCGCGGAAGTGTCTCGGCTGTGTCGCGGAAGTGTCTCGGCCGTGTCGCGGAAGTGTCTCGGCCGTGTCGCGGAAGTGTCTCGGCCGTGTCGCGGAAGTGTCTCGCGCCTCTGCGGCGGGACTGAAGTGTCTCGGCCGTGTCTCGGAAGCGTCTCGGAAGCGTCTCGCTCCTCTGCGGTGTCTGCGTCGAGGGACTGAGTCGCCGAGGCGAGGACGCCGCGCTTCATGAGCACCTTGACCACCTCCGCCATCCCCACCTGCAGCTTCCCCGCCAGCTCGCTCACCGTGATGCTCTCGCCCAGCCGCACGCGCACCGGTCCCGTCGGCTCTACCGCCGCCGGCTGCCCCGCCGCACCGCGCCTGCCGCCGCCCTTCCTCTTGGGACGGGCGGCGCGTGCCGTCGCGAGCGGCGCGTCGTCGTCGCGATCGAGGAGCCCGCGCTTCCCCACCCGCCCCTTCGCGCCCTTCTTCGGCGCCCGATCCGACCCCAGCTCTCCCTTCTTCAGGTCCTTTCCGCCCACCTTGCGCCGCCGGCCCTGGTCAGAGCCCGGCGCGCCGTCGCCCGCGTCCGCGTCGGCCGGAGGGCCGGAGAGGCCCCCGTCGGCGGCCGGGATCGCGTCGTTCTGCATCCCGCCGCCCGGCCTCGCGGGCCCGCGGGAATCGCGCTGCTGCGGAGGCCTCGCCGGCGGCGGCGCCCGAGGCGGCGGCGGCGGCGGCCTGATTCGCTTGGCGTACATGGGATTGGTGAGGACGAGCGTCGCGCCGCGGCCGCGGCCGCCCGGCGACGCGCCTCGCGGCCCGCCGCGCCCCCTCCCTCTCGGGCGTGGAGGCCCTCTGCCCTCGCGCGGCGGCTGCCTCGGCGTCGGGCTCGCGTCTGCGGCCGAGCCGGGCTCCACGAGGCTCTGCAGCAAGAGGCCAGAGTGGCGCGAGACGGCCGACGTGCTGTGCACGGCTGGGCGGGCTATGCTGGAGTGCCAGCCGAGCGCGGGCAGGCAGCAGAGCGCGACGAGCGGCGTCATGTGCTGCGATCTGGGGGCACCAAAAAAATGCTGGAAAGCGCCGCGAGGGCGCCGCCTCACCGGCCCCTCGCCAACGCCTCAAAAGTGGCGCAGAGTGATGCGGCGCACCGAGCGAGCACGCGAGCCCCGTGGCTCCAACCCCCTTCCTTTTTTGAGCAGGTGTGCCGCCCCCGCAGGTGAACTGCTGACAGGGTTTGCGAATTGCGATGAGGAGCGATCCGAACGTGTTTTTCTCCTCCCATCCCTCTCTTGGGTGTCTGTTTTCTTTCTTTTGTTTAAATTCTTATCGCGAGCGCAAATCATAGCAATACCAAACAACTCTAACACTCACACGTAATTTGGGGTTCATTTTATAAATCTCTGGAGCCCTGTTCATGTGCGAGACGTGCAAATCAGAAGAAAACGTGCCGCCCCGACGCGTCCCTTGAGGACTCTGCCGCGACCAAACGACGGCATCCCTTGAGGATCATGATGCGTGCCGAGCGCTCAGAAACGCCTTCGGTGCTGGGCAAGCGGCCACCCCTGGCTTGCCTTGAGTCTTGCGAGGACACACTCGTGGTGAGCAAGCGAGCGCGCAGCATCAACATGAAGCGCGTGCAGTGGGCGTCGATCATCGCCGTCGATGAGAGTGGCGAGCCGTGCCAGGTGAGGATGGTGCCTGAGTGGATCCGAGAAGCACAGGCACTGCTTGACGCGACTGGCTGGGCCCCAGGCTTCATCCTGCCTCCAACTCCCGCCCAGCCGCCACCTGCGCGGTTTGGTGCTGCCGCGCCCGCGCTGCCCGACGTAGGCTGAGGTGTGTCGCGGGCGTTTTGTTCAGTGGCGCGTCTGCCCTGTTGGTGTTATAAGAAAAAGAGAAATCATGGAAGAAAGATGCATTAGTCTCCACACAGCACTCCACAGCACACAGCTGCGCCCAGGCGCGCACGCTGCAGTCGAGACGACCACAGCCCTGCACGGTGCCGAGTTGAAGCGCGAACGACCCTCCCCACACACATACATGCACATGCACATGCCATGCATGACACGTGCATGTGCATGTATGTGCATGTGCACATGTCCATGTGCATGTGCGGCGACGTAGCTGGGCGTCATCATCACACCATCTGAGCGCCCGCCCGCGCCAGCGTGGCACAGATCATCTGTCTCAAACGGACACCTTCCCCCCATCCAAGCCCATGCCAAGCCCCTCGCACGATTTTGAGAGGAACTTGTCGAGCGCGACGTCGGCTGAGCGGTCGAGCGAGTGGTTGCCAAACGTTGCGGATCCGATGTCCTCGTAGACGATCCGGCCCCGCTTCTCGTGCAGCGCCTACACAGCGAAACGCCGCCCGTACACACACACAAGCCGCAGACCGTTTGGGGGCGTGCTGCTCCCTCCTGCCCGGCGGGGTCGGCTTCGAAGAAGGCCTTGGCGCCAGTGACGTATGCGGCGACAAACAGCGGCTTTATACTCGAGCTCGTCGCCTCCGCCCACCACCGTGCCGCGCTCTGCGGCAGGCCTAGCTCCTGCGGACCGTCGAGGAGGTGGCCGTACGTCTGCAAAAACTCGGATGCACCCATCGCAGACTGCGCGTCGCCGTCAACGGTGACGCGTGGCGAGCCGCCCTGCCATGACGCCGTGCGAGGCTCATCGGCAACAAGCTTCCGGTACGTCTCGCGGTCGGCGTCTGGCCAGCACGGCACATGCACGCTCCCCGCCCTCGTGATTACACACTCGCGTACGGCTCCCTTGTCGGCTAGCGCCTGCGCCACCTTTGACGCAGCAATGAAGAATGGGCAGCCTATTGTCGGCTCGCAGCCTCAAGTGCGCGAGCAGATGCTGGGGGATGGAGGCCGAGAGCTGCTGACCATGGCGGACGAAGCCACCTACCGAGCAGGGACGCAGATTGACAACTGGGTGGTCACATCTGGGCTCGCGTCATGTATGGGGCGCACGAGCACAATGCCGGGGGTGTGCGGTGACGACCACAGGGCGGTGGCGGTGGAATTCTTTGGAGGAGTAGGTGGTGTGGGAGGGCCTCGCGAGTTTCGGGAGCGGGGGGTGAGCACATTCATGGATCGGGAGGTGGAGGAGAGATTCACAAAGACGGTACAGGAGGTGTTCGATGACGAGGTGCAGGCCGATGCGGAGAAGGAGCTGAGTGCCTCAGACCGGCTCGAGAGGCTGACGAGGGTGCTCACGCGACACGCTAGGGCGGTGGTCGCGACCAGGAGGGCAAAGGGCGATGACGAAGCGGGCGGAGAGGAGCGGCCCGCGGGAGGCGGGGAGGCAAGCGAGGGGGCGGGTGGCCGAGGGCCGCCACCTAAGTCCAAGAGAGAGAGGCTGCGATGGAAAGTGGCGAAGTGGTTCAGGATACGGCACGAGGTCAAGAAATGGAGCGGCACGATGAGCGACGGATATAGGAGGGTATGGGAGGGGAAGGGCTTTTGGAGGGAGCCAAACCTAGCGCAGCTCTGGAAGGCCCTCGAGGCTCAGCCACAGCTGGCGAATAGAGGAAGGCGCGCGAGGGCGTTGGCGGTCTGTGAGCGCGAACGACGCGACGCTGAACAGGAGTTCCTCCTGTGCCCGCGGACGGGGGGGGAGAAACTCACAGAGGTGATGCAGGAGGTTGCGACAGAGAATAGCGGCAACAACGCTAGGAGAGTCTTCGAGATTCTGAACAAGGAGATGGGCAGAAGAGCGGGCGGGGGGGAGCTGGTTGCGATGTATGAGGGAGGCGAGTGGGTAACCTGCCAGACGACGGGAGAGCAGGTCTGGCAAAGACACGTGGTGCGAGGGGACGAAGTCCGCGACGCCGCGGCGAGGAGAGGGAAGGAGATCAACGCGCGGAGGGAGGCGGACATGGCGGCGGTCGAGGCGCTCCTAGCAATGACAAAACCAGCCAGGGCGGAGGCCCAGCCCCCAGGGGTGGGGGGGACAGGACGGCTTGCGGATAACGTGTTGACGTGGTCGGCGTGCGAGGCGGCAATCAGGAAATTCAAAAAAGGAAAGGCGATAGGCAGCGACAAACTAGATGGGTACCTGATCCGACTCTCGCCGAGGGGAGTGCAGCGGGAGTACTGGAGGCTGCTGCACGCCCGGCCTTGAGGGAGCCGCGGAGGAGGAGGGATAACGGAGGCAACGTGCAGACAGGCCAGCTAGTCCCCCATCGGGAGGACGACCCCGGCTAGTCGCCGACCACACCCACAAAGAACCCTGCACAAAGATCGCAAGGGCGGGGACCTGTTCCTTTTTACCCATCTCCTAGTAGAGGTGTCCGTTTTATTTATTTATTTGCCTGTTGGACAGTCCTTGGAGAATTTCACTGCTTGACGGTGCTGTTCGTCAGGTCCCAGGGTAATCTTGAACTTAAAGTCAGAAAAACGTGGAGGCCAGGTATCCCCCGGGAGTCCATCGATATTTGGATAGACTCCGGGAGGCGAGGTTTCCGGCTCGACCTTTCCCGGGTAGGCCAGGAATCTGCTTTTCACTGCGGAATTGATGGTACCGTGTCTAGAGTTTTGCCCTTGACTGCTACCGTACATATTGATCCCCCAGTCCTTGCCCAAAGTGAAATTCCGGAACTTTCCTTGATTCTGGCACTCGAGGTTATAGGTCCATCCCGCGTCAGGATCCCAGGGCTCGCAGAAAGCGCTGGGAGCCAGGATGAATTCAAACACTCGACGGACATTGCCAAGGATACGGACGTTGTCCACAAACACATTCTCAATATAGGCAGGGGAAACGGTCTTCCCGTCCTTTTCTTTGACGCTCCTACCCCAGTAGGCACCTATGAGACCGCCGTAGTGCATGATCGCGTCGACCTTCTTGTATTGTTTGCACATTGGACGGTGGACTATATTGTGATCATCAGGAAGACACGCCTTGTATGTGTAATTATCATCCGCATCATAGTACCTTTGTGAGTGCCACACGTCCAGGCCAGTGACAGTTGCGCCCGAAAACCCCGGTTGTTCCCAACCGAACATAAGGGCCCAACCATTCGTACCAGGCCATACGATGTTGTTGAAGAATTTCTGATCTTTCTCCATCGGCTTATACGCATCGTCGTGGGTCATCACGAAGCTGTTTGTCACCAAACCGTCGACCCCCGTAGCGGCGATTCCATCGGTCGACATGTACCATGTTCCGAGCACCTTCACATTGTTGACCACTGCACCCGTTGACCCGTCGCTGCAATCCCACTGGGCATTCAGCATCACGTGGCGATTGTCCGGCCCTGCACCGACAATCGTCACGTCCTCGACTTTGACCTCCTGCCCTCGTAGCTGGATTATACCTTTGGCTTTGCAGCCTACAACTTCCGTATCCTTATCATAATCGCAGTCAGAACGCACCACCCCGAGTCCGCGGATGTGCGCATGATCAGCTGTCAGCGAGTCGTCGCAAGTTGAAGGTTTACCGTGAGTCACGAAAGTCGCTCTCAAGACGGTGCTGATAGGGAGGCAATACTTGTCGCCGTCTTCTACCGGAATAGGACCATAGTCCGAATATCCGACTGGGAAAGAGTACTCGTTAAACGTGCCACACGGTTTATAGCTGTACCGACTTCTCATCGAAATCAGAAGGGGGTGCGCGTTGTCGTTGAACATCTCTACGGAGATCGTGCCCGTATCATCGTTTCCCCAAGAACCAATAATCTTGAACTCGAAGACGTTCGGATCTTTCCTGTTGACCGGATTCCACCATCCACGACCGCTCTTTTTGCAATTGCTCATGTAACAAGTGGCCGGGTTTTGCCAGGTTGGAGGGTGGGGTCGGTGCCTGGCGGCCGCGCGATCGTGTACCTAGGTAGTGGTCGCGACGACCGCCGCGTCGGAAGCGCCGACGCCCGAGTGAGTGCCGACCCCATCAGCGATGGCAAAGCGCGCGCGCGCCGACCCCATCAGCGGCCTCCTGGAGGCCAGCGGCATCGCTGCATCGTGGCGGGACGAGCTGCACGGCCGCATCCGAAACTTTCTCGAGCACGAAGGCATCGACCTGGCCGCCGCGGCGAGCTCCAGCCGCGACAAGCTTCTCGAGCACGTGAACGCGACGTCCGCGCAGCGCAGCGCCCTGTTGCAGGCGCTGAACGTGTACGCTGACCAGTGGGGCCGCGCGCAGCGCACCAAGATTCGCCGGCTGGTGCGCGCGGAGGACGAGGAGGCGGCGGCGGATGAGGAGGCGGACGAGGAGGAGGCTGTCGAGGAGGAGGAGGGCGAGGAAGCGGACGGAGGTGAGGAGAAGGCGGACGAGGAGGATGAGGAGGGCGAGGATGCGGGCGGCGGTGAGCAGGAGGATGCTGACGACGACGAGGGCGTCGAGGCTGGGCCGGAGGCGGAAGCGGATGCTGTCGAGGAGGAGGAGGTGCAGGAGGAGGAGGAGATCGTGCTGCGCGTGCTGCGGCAGCCGGCCGCCGAAGAGGCGTTGATTCGGTCGCCGGCGCCCGACGGCGACGGCGCGTTCACCATCCGCAGCCTGATGCGCGCGTGCGAGTCGACCGGCTACCCCGCCGCACCGCAGCCGGCGACGATGCGGCTGCCGCTCTACGCTGCGCAGCGGCAGGCGCTCGGGTGGGCGCTCGACCAGGAGGCGCTCGACCTGCACGCCGCGCTGTGGCAGCGGCAGGCCGACGGGCTCTGGCATTGCGCGCTCACCGGAGAGCGCGCGCGCGCCGCGCCGCGCGCCACCAGCGGCGGGCTGTTCGCTCTCGACATGGGCTGCGGCAAGACCGTCGTGCTCGGCGCGCTCGTGCTCGCGCACCCGTACGACGCAGCGGACGTCGCCGCGCGTGGCTTCGACGCGGCGGCGGCGGCGGCGCCGCGCACGCGCGCGACGCTCGTCGTGGCCAAGAAGACGCTCATCGAGCAGTGGCGCCGCGAGCTCGTCGATCGAGACGACGGCCGCGCCTTCGCCGACGCGCACCGGCTGCGCGTCGCGGTGCACGACAAGGACGCGCGCGACGTGAGCGACCTCTTCGCCTCGGACGTGGTGCTTACGACGTTTGAGCGCTTCAAGGCCGACCGCCGGCTGCACAGGGTCGTCTGGTGGCGCGTTGTCGTCGACGAGTCGGCGCAGCACCTGCGCACGACGGTCTCCGCCACGTCGCGTCAGCTGCGCGCGCTCACTGCCGTTCACCGCTGGGTTCTGAGCGGCACACCCTTCGACACGCGCGGGCTGCAAGCGCTCGGCGGCCAGCTCGCCGTGCTCGGGCTGGCTGGCGCCATCGCCACGTCCGAGTGGTGGGCCAGCGCGACGTGGCGCCAGGCGCAGGCGGTGCTGGGCCACGTCATGCTGCGCCATTCGCTCGCCCAGCGCTTCGCGCAGAGCGGCGCGAGCGTGCTGCCGGTGCGCGCCGCCGACGGCACGCCGCTGCGGAAGGAACACGCCTTCGTCCGCCTCGACTTTGAGCGCGATCACGCCACCGGCCGCTCCCACGCGGAGGTGGTTGTGCGCGCGCTCGAGCACCTCGCGCGCCTCGAGCTGCGCGTCGGCCTCGGCGAGGCGCACGAACTCTTCGCCGAGTGGCCCGCCGGCCGCTTGCAGGAGCTCGTCCTCGCCTCGAGCCACCCAAACTACGTCGAGCCAGGCGAGGTCGCCGCGCGGCTGCCCATGCTGCAGACGAGCCGCGCGGACAAGCTCTCGCCCGGCTCGCTCATCCCGACGCGCCTCGTCACCATCGATTGCGTGCTCGGTGGCCTCATCGAGGATGGGTTCGGCTCTCCGGCCGAGAAGGCGGCCGTCATCAACGGTAGCACCGCTTGCTGCAAATGCGCCATGCCCTTTGCGCCGCCGGGCGCGTCGGCGCCGACGGCGCGCGTCCTCGTCAGCGGCTGCTGTCACTCGTACTGCAAGCGGTGCCTAAGCGAGAAGATGTGCGCCGGGATCGCCGCTCTGCAGCAGGTGCACTGCGACCACGCCGGCTGCGGCAACCGGCTGCAGCTGGGCCTCCTGCGCGAGCTCGTCAGCGAGGCGGCCTTCGAGGCGTCGGAGTGGGCGCTCGACCCGTCGCCCGAATGGCGGCAGCTCGACACGTCGCTCCCCGGCGCGGAGGCGCTCGCGGAGCTCCGGGTGAGCGTGTGCGACGCCTTCTGCTCCGAGGCACACGTCGAGGAGCACGCGCGCTATGCGACGAGGCGCCGGTGCAACGATGGCCAGGTGGAGGTGCGCCAGCTGACAAAGGCGCTGCAGCCGCCGCTCGCCGCGGCCGACGTCCTCCGTCCCGGCACGCTCGCCGACGCCACGGCGTGCGTCCTGTGCTTGTATGACAAGGAGCCGGAGGAGCTCGCGGCGCTGCCGTGCGGCCACTCGCAATTCTGCCGGCCGTGCCTCGCCCAGCTGCACGCGCGGAACCCGCTCAACGTGCGCTGCCCGATGTGCCGCGCCGAGCACGTGGCGCCGCCCATGAGGCACTTTTGCGGCAAGGCGTGCGCCAAGGCGGCCTGCCAGCTGCGCTTGCAGCACGTCGACGCGGACGTGCCGCGCACGCGCGCGTGCGACGGCTGCACCGCGCCCCTCGACCAGCGGAGGCTGTGGCGCTGCCACTGGCCCAAGCGGCGCTGCGCGGCGGGCACCGTTCACTTTGGCGCGCAGCGCTTCCACTCGAAGACGTGCGCCGAGGCATGGTTCGCCTCGCAGTTGGTCGACCTGGCCGACGATTTTGAGGGCAACCGGCGGCTGTACGAGGAGGGCGCCAACACGCGGCCCGACATTGCCGAGCTGACGCCGCTCATGCGCCGTGCCGGCGAGACGCGCTTCCATCTCGGCTACGAGCACGCGAATGCCGCCGGCGCCGTGACCCGCGGCAAGGAGTGGGACGAGCACTACATCAACTTCCCTGGCATGCCGCCCTTCTCCTTTGCCGCGCACCTCGACGCCGCCGCGGGCCACTGGTCCACCCAAGCGCAGATCCCGCGCGGCCCCAAGATCGCCAAGCTCCTCGAGCTCATCGAGGGCCCGGCCGACGTCGACAACAGCGATGACAAGTTCCTCGTCTTCTCCGCGTCGGCCCACCTGCTCGATCTCGTCGCCGGCGCGCTGGCGGCCACCTACCCGCCTGGCTTCTTCGTGCGCGCGCGCGAGGGCGAGTCGGCGCTCTCGCGCTTCCGCGACGAGCCCGAGTGCTGCGGCCTGCTGCTCGAGAGCGGCACCTTCGCCGCCGGCCTCACGTTGACGAATGCGAGCACGTGCTACGTCCTCGAGCCGCAGCTCGACCCGGCGGCGCAGACGCAGCTCGAGAGCCGCATCTACCGGCCCGGCCAGACGCGCGACGTGCGCATTGTCCACCTCTACATGAGCGGCACGATCGAGGAGCGCATCGTGCAGCGCCACCCGGACTTTGTCTTTGAGTAGCCCCGGTGCGCGGTGGCGCGTCGGTGAGCGTGTCTCGGCGCGGCTCTCGCGCATAGGATACGCACTCGGCAGCACGAGGGCAAGGCTGGGCCTCCTATACGGGATGTGGAGGGTGAGTTGACCAGGGGTTGTGCGCTGGGCCCTCCTGCTCGGCTCCAGCGAGTAGACAAGTGTTGTCATCAACAGAGTAGAAGGATCTGACCTCGGGGCCGATGTGACCAAGCGCTGGTAGCGTGGTTTTACCTCACACCCATGGTCTCACAGTGTGCCGGCAGTCGCCGAGCAGTGTCGCTCTCACACAAGCCGCAGCACAAGTGACTGAGGGCCAGTGAGGGCGAGCCCATCGCTGCGTCCTGTGACAGCTGTGGGGCGCAGCCGCACAGTAGGCTGTGCCAACCGTGTGCAGAACGTGTGAGCAGCAGAGGAGCTGCTCTCCGCAGGCAGGCCTCTGTCGCAAAGAGCTGCATGCCACCGAAGGCGCTGTCGAGGTTCGCCGAGCGCGGCGCAGTCGGGGGAAGCCGCCACCGACGAGCGTTGGACTTTTCACTCCGGACAAAGACGGGCACACAGCGGACGGTGCGGGGCGTGTGCCCGTCATAGTGGCGAGGCGCACCCTCCACACCCTATCAGTCGCGCTCCCAATCGGCGCCCGATCGATTGCGCCTACTTTCATGAGGGGCGACATGGTAGTTATCGAGATATGGTTGATCAAAGTTGTAACACCGTCACAAAAGTGAGAGAGTCTCTCTCTCTCTCAAAAGTGATGCACGTATTGGGAGCGCGACTGCTATCTAAGCTATAGGTCCTAATTTGGTGCTCCCCTCCGGATCCGCGGATCCTCGCCCTTGGGCACTATTCATCTGACCACTCTGTGAGGGGCTGTGAGAGCTTCTTAGGCAGGATGGGCTCGGGCCACTTACTTACCCGTGCTCATGTATCCCCGCATGAGCCTGATGGAGGCCTCGACCATCCCTCGCAGCAGGCTCTCGAGCATCTCCAGCAGCTCCCGCCGCCACCGCGTTTCCGTGAGTGAGTGTACACACACACACACACAGAGTCCACACGTGTGAATTCTCAATAACAAGGCTGTGAATGGAAGGAATGCAAGGGGGGAATGGCCTGTGGCAAAATCAGCGGCCAGATCCACTGGCTGGGTCTCTCCAGCTGCAGCGGCCGAGGGCTCAGCCGCAGGAACAATGCAAGAGGCTGGGAAGAATCTCGAGCGCTCGCACGCTATGGGCGCACGAATCGCGAACGAGGAGCGCCGCCTCATCGAGGCTGTGCGACGAAGTGAAGCGTGGGCGACCTGCTCTTCGCTGGTGCTTGGCGTGGAAATGGAGCTGTCGATCGGCGTAAGCACCATCGATTCCTTCGATGATTGGCATTTAGCCCTACGATCGCTCTTCGTCTGTTGCTCGACCGCCTCAATGCTGTGCATGGGCTGGGTGGCCTACGACGCCCTGCTCGCCGCCGAGGAGGCGCTGGCGATGGCACACGACCATGGCGCGACGAAAGATGCGGTCGAGTCGCTTCGCGCGTGGCTGCAGGTCGAGCGGGGACGTCGGACACGCACATCTACCACGGTTTACCCGCCGCTCGAGACCATGATCGTAGCCGTCCTGTACCTCGAGCGATGCCTGCGCCACCTGCGGATCGTCTTTAGCTGGGGGCTGCTTCTAGCGGCGGGAACCTTCTTCTGCTACCTGGGCACGCTCTCGGCGGCGAGCGAGCCACCCTTCTACTCCGGCGTCATCGTCGTCGTCTTTTGCACTGCTGCACGCTCCGCATGGAAGAGGCGGTTGCGCGGCATGATTACCACCAGGGCGTCCAGTGAGCGCGGCACCGGGCTGCTGGGGCTGGGTGTGCCGGCGCCTCGCGCCCGGCGGTCGGCGGGGGCGAGGCGGACGGCGGACGGCGCGGCGGGCGGACGGCGGACGGCGGACGGCGGGCGAAGCATCGGGCGAAGGATCTCGCGCGCGACCGTGGACCTCAATGAACTGACGTGGACTGCCCCGCGAGGATATGCATAAGATGGAATTCCATCTTAGAGAGCCAGCCATGCTCTCTCTCTTCTGACCGTACAGACACTGTGCAAAGCATTCCCAGGGAGCAGGATCGGGAGCTCCTTACTACTCAATGCCTCCATGAACGGAGGAGCTAGATAGAAAGCCAAAGGCGAAACACAGTCCGACCAACGAAACTCGCCGCGATTTCTTTTTCCAGAGAAGTAGCCCGTCTGTAAGTAAGGAATCAAACCACGACGACACACACCAGTCGACTCGCATCGGTTGCCTCCATGAACGGCGGAACTATTCTCGCGTCCACACCACACCTGGCTCCAACGTGGACACGCCCATAGCTGGGGACACTACTAGGTCACGCATGGCATCACAGAAGTTTTGTCTCTGGGCCCCGAAAGGCATCTCTAGCAGTGTCGTTACGCATGCCCCCTCCCCTCCTGGGCGCATGCGCCTCACGTGGCATAAGCTCTTGGTGTGCGACGAGACGAGTTTTTCGCCATGCAGCGAGCAGCAAGCCGCCCGCCGCAAACAGCCGGAGGCATCGCCACGGCACTGACTGCGCCGCGGTCCCGCACCCGTCGACGAAGCTCCCCCCGCGGAAGACCGCGCGTAGCGACGCCTTGACGATCGAGATGAGCGTGCCTGAAGCTCGCCCACCTGCACACACACACGCCGCGCGCTGCGATTTCTTTTTTCCAGAGAAGTAGCCCGTCTGTGGGCCCCCAGCCAGCCGCCATGCCCTTCACCTCACACCGCGAGCTCCACCTGCAGCGGACCGGCCTATCGTCTGGCTCGCTCTTCTTTGGCGCCCACAGCGCCTCGGACGAGGCGTGCGTGCTCCACCTCGAGCCAGAGCCAGGCAGCAAAGGATCATCCGTCCGCGGCAGCGGCGGCGGCGGCGGCGGCGGTGGGATGTGGAGGCTGACGCTGCTCGAGCAGGGAGCGCGGCAGTGGACCGTCCCTCTCTCCGCGCTGTGTGACGTCCGCCTCGACTTTGTGGTCGGCCACCACCGCCACCACGCCGACTCTCCGGCCGGCCGCCGGCGCGCTCGGCACCACTTCTGCCTGGTGCTGCGCGGCCGGCCGCCGGTCGCGCTGTGGATGCCGACGGACGCCGAGCGGAGGGAGGCGGTGGACGCGCTGCTGGCCGCCCTCAAAGGCCACACCGTGCCGCACATCGCTGTTCTCCGCCTCGGGATGCTCGGTTGCAGCAGCCATGGCGGCGATCCTCTGGTGGCGGCGCTGGCGGCGCGCAAGCTGGTGCTCTTCTCTGCGGAGTGCCGGCCCCTCCGCGTCCTGCGCCCGGTCTGCGTGGTCGAGCAGCCAAAGCAGCGGGTGGGCCTCGCCTTTGAGGCGCGGCGCATGGCAAAAAAAAGACGAAGACGTCCCGCACTCTCTCGCTCCCCCTCTCTCCCACCCAAGGGTTGCCCCTCCCCGACCTCCGAGAGCCGACTAGTGCGCGGCGGGGAGGCGCGGAGGCCTTCATTGAGGGTAGGCCCCCCCCTCCTACCCATGACAGGTGCGGCACACGGCGGGCACGGTGACGCTGGCGGCCGCCTCGCCGGAGATGAAGAGGCTTTGGTGCAGCGCGATCGCCGCCGTGTGCAGCGGCGGGGCGCCTTCGGTGGATGCGCTGTCGCGCCTCGCGCCGAGTCGTGCCTGCTCCGAGGCGTCGTCGACGGTCAGCTGCTGCAGCGGCAGCTCGTCCGACGCCTCGTCGCCGCAGCTGCACACACCGGGGCGAGCCGACAGTAGAAGCGGAGGAGACGCATTCTTGTAGAGCCCGACTGCACACACCGGGGCGAGCCGACAGTAGAAGCGGAGGAGACGCACTCTTGTAGAGCCCGACTGCACACACCGGGGCGAGCCGACAGTAGAAGCGGAGGAGACGCACTCTTGTAGAGCCCGACTGCACACACCGGGGCGAGCCGACAGTAGAAGCGGAGGAGACGCACTCTTGTAGAGCCCGACTGCACACACCGGGGCGAGCCGACAGTAGAAGCGGAGGAGACGCATTCTTGTAGAGCCCGACTGCACACACCGGGGCGAGCCGACAGTAGAAGCGGAGGAGACGCACTCTTGTAGAGCCCGACTGCACACACCGGGGCGAGCCGACAGTAGAAGCGGAGGAGACGCACTCTTGTAGAGCCCGACTGCACACACCGGGGCTAGCCGACAGTAGAAGCGGAGGAGACGCACTCTTGTAGAGCCCGACTGCACACACCGGGGCGAGCCGACAGTAGAAGCGGAGGAGACGCACTCTTGTAGAGCCCGACTGCACACACCGGGGCGAGCCGACAGTAGAAGCGGAGGAGACGCATTCTTGTAGAGCCCGACTGCACACACCGGGGCGAGCCGACAGTAGAAGCGGAGGAGACGCATTCTTGTAGAGCCCGACTGCACACACCGGGGCGAGCCGACAGTAGAAGCGGAGGAGACGCACTCTTGTAGAGCCCGACTGCACACACCGGGGCGAGCCGACAGTAGAAGCGGAGGAGACGCACTCTTGTAGAGCCCGACTGCACACACCGGGGCGAGCCGACAGTAGAAGCGGAGGAGACGCACTCTTGTAGAGCCCGACTGCACACACCGGGGCGAGCCGACAGTAGAAGCGGAGGAGACGCATTCTTGTAGAGCCCGACTGCACACACCGGGGCGAGCCGACAGTAGAAGCGGAGGAGACGCACTCTTGTAGAGCCCGACTGCACACACCGGGGCTAGCCGACAGTAGAAGCGGAGGAGACGCACTCTTGTAGAGCCCGACTGCACACACCGGGGCTAGCCGACAGTAGAGGCGGAGGAGACGCACTCTTGTAGAGCCCGACTGCACACACCGGGGCGAGCCGACAGTAGAAGCGGAGGAGACGCACTCTTGTAGAGCCCGACTGCACACACCGGGGCGAGCCGACAGTAGAAGCGGAGGAGACGCACTCTTGTAGAGCCCGACTGCACACACCGGGGCGAGCCGACAGTAGAAGCGGAGGAGACGCATTCTTGTAGAGCCCGACTGCACACACCGGGGCGAGCCGACAGTAGAAGCGGAGGAGACGCATTCTTGTAGAGCCCGACTGCACACACCGGGGCGAGCCGACAGTAGAGGCGGAGGAGACGCACTCTTGTAGAGCCCGACTGCACACACCGGGGCTAGCCGACAGTAGAGGCGGAGGAGACGCACTCTTGTAGAGCCCGACTGGCGGCTCGAGAGGAGCACGTCCGGGACTTCGCTGTACTCGGCCGTGCTCGGCCGTCTTGACGCGGTGCTCCGACGCCACTGCACGCGGCAAAAGGGGCTTGGCCTGAACTGTGGGGTAGGCGTGCCCGCCGGGCACGGCCGAGAGACCTGTCTGAGAATGGAGACTCGAACCCTCCCCCCTAGTCTGGGCAGGGGATGTGCCCACGTGGTGGGGGCTGCCCATGTGTGGCGGCTGGCTGGATGGGCGAGTGCGCCCGTTGATGCCCGTGTATGCCCCACTGCACGGGGCCGTGGGGGGTAGGGGGGTGGGTTCGAGTACCGTGGGGGGTAGGGGATGGGTTCGGGTACCGTGGGGGATAGGGATGGGTTCGGATACCGTGGGGGGTAGGGGATGGGTGCGCGGGTACCGTCCTCCCGCCCTGACCTCGGCGTGCTCCTCGCACAGGCTGGCAGCTCTCTCTGCGTCGAAGGACCGCATGTTGCGGAGCCTCGACCGGTTTGAGGTCGAGAAGAGGCTGCTGCTCGGCGAGATCTGCGCGTGTGAGGAGGCCACGGAGGCGCGCCAGCTCCGGCCAGCTACTCTGCTCGGCCAGAGCTCGGCTCAATCTCCGGCCAGATCTCGGCCAGATCTCGGCCAGATCTCGATCTCGGCCAGATCTCGGCCAGATCTCGGCCAGATCTCGGCCAGATCGCGGCCAGATCCCGGCTAGTCCAGCTCCGACCAGCTGCTGCCCTCGCCTGCTGACTCATGAGCTCTCGCCGGCGAGGCGGCGAAAAAAAGAAATCGTGGAGGCATCGCCGGCGTTGACTCCTCCGTCACAGGCGGGCCAGCTCCGGCTCGCCGCTGCTCTCGCTCTGGTCGCTCGCGGCCACCTCTCGGGCGCTGCGGCGCCGCTGCCTCTCGGTTTTGCACTTGGAGAAGGCGGAGGAGGCGGAGGCGGAGGCGGCGGAGGCGGAGGCGGAGGCGCAGGCGGAGGCGCAGGCGGAGGCGGAGGCGACGCGCTCTCGCAGCGGCGGAAGGAGCGGCGGCTGGAGGGCGAGAGGGCGGCGCAGCGCGGCCTGCTGCGGCAGTGCTTTGAGACGGAGTCGCCGTGAACGGCGTCTCTTCACACCTCTGGCCGTGGACAGGCCTGCTGCGGCAGTGCTTTGAGACGGAGTCGCCGTGAACGGCGTCTCTTCACACCTCTGGCCGTGGACAGGCCTGCTGCAGCAGTGCCTTGAGAAGGAGTCCAAGCTGCGCCGGCTGGCCGAGACGGTGGTGGCGCTGCCCTCCGAGGCAATCTCTGCGCGGCGCGACTCCGGCCTGACCCCGCTCGAGACCGCGCTGCGCAGCCGCTGCCACTTTTTCGCCGTCTACCGGCAGGGCGAGCCCGCGGCGGCGGCGGCGGCGTGTGTGCTCGTGGTTGACGACGAGGAGGGGGAGGTGTGCTCTCCTCCCGGCCAGTTCGCCAGTGAGCCAGTCAGCTAGAGGAGGTAGACCAGCCAGGCCAGCTCCTCCTCTTTCCTTCGTTCGTTGGCGAGAGAGGCGGAGAGCAGCTCGGCCAGCTCCTCCCATCCAGCTAGGCTGCCTATGGGTGAGGGCGGGCGTCCTCTTCACAGCTCGAGCCGTGAACAGGTGCTCCTCCTCAGAGGCGGCGAGGTGCAGCAGCGTCTCGAGGCGACGCATGTCCTGCTGTGAACAGCGTCTCTTCACACCTGCAGCTGTGAACAGGTGCAGCAGCGTCTCGAGCAGCGCGAGCTGCTCGCGCCCGTCGTTGGTTACCGGGAGGCACACACACACACACACACACACACACACACACACACACACACACACACACACACACACACACACACACACACACACACACACACCGCTCACACACACACACACACACACACACACACACACACACACACACACACACACACACACACACACACACACACACACACCGCTCACACACACACACACACACACACACACACACACACACACACACACACACACACCACACACACCGCTCACCCACGCGCACCGGGCCTCGCACTTTGAATGCCGTGCCCCTCCTGTCGTCTAGACGTGGAGTCGCGAGGGACTAGCCTGGCCCTTGCCCCACCACCTCGTGCGTGTGGAGAAATTCACCTCGCCTTTCCTTACCTTGTCCTACCGCTAGGCGCACTTCCGCGCCGGCGAACCGCTCTCAGGGCAGGGCGGCGGCGCGCCCCGGGAGCGCTGCTGCTTTGCGCTGGTCTCGAGCCGGGGCGGGCTGCCGACGGCGCTGCACGCCTCGTCTCCAGCAGAGCGCGAAGAGCTGCTGCGTGCGCTGCCATGCGGCGGCGGCGGCGGCGGCGGCGGCGGCGGCGGCGGCGGCGGCGGCGGCGGCGGCGGCGGCGGCCCTGCGCCTCGCATGCCGTCGCCCTTGCTGCACGCTGCCGAGCTGGTGGCTCAGCGGGTGGGTGGGGGCGTGGCGGCGGGCCGGTGGGGCGTGCTGCTCCCTGGCACGCTGCTGCTGCTGCAGGGCCCCGAGTTCGATCTGCCGCTGCTCGCCGCGCCGCTCGCCGGCTCGAGGGCGACCTTCCGCCCCTCCAGGTCCCTCAGCTTCCTCCCCGCACAAGAAGCGCGGAGTGATTAGTTGCCTCGCGTGCGGCCGACCAGTGGCCATTCTTAAACTCCTTGTCCGATGGCTGGAGAAGTGACTCTTGTCGAGCGACGTCGTCGACACGTCAACGTCGACCATAGGCCGCGCAGCCTGACGCTGCGCCTCGCGAGCGGCGGCGAGCTCGCCTTTTCCACGGGCGAGGCGGGGTCCATGGCTCAGTGGGTCGCCGCCCTCGAGGCGGTCATCCCCGTCGTGCGTCCCTCCAGCGCGGAGGAGGCGGCAGGCCGCGGCTCGGGGGCGGGGAGGGCGATGGAGGCGAGCGCGCCGCCGCTGGCGCCCGAGTTTCTGCAGCAGCTGCGCGAGGTGCACGGGGCGGTGCAGGTCCGAGACTAGCCGCGAGGTAGCAGAGAGGTAGCTGAGAGATGGCCGAGAGATGCCCGAGAGATGGCCGAGAGGTGGCCAAGAGATAGCCAAGAGGTAGCCGAGAGGCAGCCGAGAGGCAGCCGAGAGGCAGCCGAGAGCATCAGCTGCGGTGACATATCTCCCCATATCTCCCCATCTCTCGCAGGCCCAGCTGCAGTGCCTCGGGGGCGAGCTCGCGCTGTGCGAGGACGAGGAGCGACAGGTGCCTCTCCCCTACCCCACGGTACCCGAACCCACCCTCCCCTACCCCACGGTACCCGAACCTTACCCTCCCCTACCCCACGGTACCCGAACCCACCCTCCCCTACCCCACGGTACCCGAACCCACCCTCCCCTACCCCACGGTACCCGAACCTTACCCTCCCCTACCCCACGGTACCCGAACCCACGCCGCCTACCTGCCCGGCAGGCGCATCTGCAGGGCCGGAGGCGCGTGGCTCAGGCGGCGGCCAAGCTTCGCGGCGAGAGGGCGAGCGTGCTGCCCGCGCTGCTGCGTGCGCCGTCGTCGGCCCTTTGGAGCGGCGCGGGCGGCGAGGAGGCCGCGCTGACGGAGCGGTTGCACGCGGTGACGCAGCTGAACGCGGCGGTGTCCAAGACCTTTCCTAGACCTTTCCTGGAGCCTTCCTGTAGGTGACGCAGCTGAACGCGGCAGTGCGCGAGGAGCTCGAGGAGAGGGAGCGCGAGATCGGGCAGCTGCAGCGCGCGGCGAGTGGATTGGAACCGACTACACTCTCTCGCGAGTCACACTCCCTTGAACGTAGGCAGCTGCAGCGCGCGGCCGTCGCGTTTGGCGCTGCCGACTGGGAGTGGTCGACGCACATCTCCGACGGCCTCAGTCTCTGGGACGTTTGGCTACGCGCCAAGGAGACGTTGCGCCAACAGCCGTTGCCGCCGCCGCCGCCGCCGCCACAGCCGCCGCCGCGGGTGGCGGCGGCGTCTCCGCCGCCCTCCGCGCCGGTCGCTGGCGCGGGCGGCGCTGCGCAGCCCGCGCCGTCCTGTGCGCGGTCGCCTCCCGAGAAGCCGTCGATGTCGTTTTTGCAGTCGGTCCGCTCGCTCAGCACGGGCTTGCCCATCGGGGTGCTCTCGAGCGACGCCGACGTGGATGCGGCCCTCAGCAGGCAGGAGGCGCGCACGGAGCAGAGGGAGGATTGGCTCATCTCACTTGCCAACCGGCTGCTTGAAATGTAGGATGTGCTCTGTTTCAGTTCGATTCTTGGGTGCGGAATCTTGTGTTGCCTCGGCCAATTTATATCTTTCTAACCACCAGTGAGCAGTGTGTCCGTCTGTCTCCTCTGAGTCACGATGACGACTCTTTGACAGCGTCGCGGCGCGCGTCGGGGAAGGTGGAGGCACAACCTCTGGACTGGCCAGCAGCATCGAACGACAACGAGCCGAAGCAAGGCACGCGGGCGACGCACTTCGTTCGCTACGAGGAGGTACAACTAGGCAAGGCGGCTGCGCAGGTGATGATCCTGTTTGCAGAGAAAGGAGTCAAGGAAGGCCAAGAGTGAGGCTAAAGACTTGTTGCAAAAAGTCTGGGGTGCAAAAGACGCCAAAAACTACCAAAAACGGTGACGTCGGTGTCACGGCCAGCTCGGCACTATCTACTCAAAAAAAATGACATAGAGCACGCACTTTTAAGCGTTCCGTGCACACACAAGGTCCGCCTGCGTGCATCGCCAGCTTCTCAGGGCCATCGCGCGAAAAATGACGGAGGAGATGCATCCTAGCTGTCGCCACCGAAGGCGACTCGACGTCGCTGAGATCGGAGATCAAGCTCTGACAGGTCACACGTCGCTCCTTTGACGCCGACGTGACTCACCCGTGCAGAGCGCATCAGGACACGGTCTCGACGCGCTCGTTACGACGCCTGCGACCCGTCTCGGGTCAGGTGGCACGACGCTCATCGCGCCTGCCAGCGCTGCCGTGCAGGCTGCCACGACAAGGTCGAGCACGCTTCTATACGCTCGCCCAGCCTTCCTTTCCATCCCATTAGGCAGCCTGGGAACGGTGGCGGTCAGAGGCAAAGCCTGCGAGGGGTGGTGGAACCACATGTCACGGCCACCGCCGGCTCGACGCGGCGATAGGGATAGCCTCCGGAGCGAGGCTGACTTTGAGGCACCATCATCGGACGATGTCGACGAGCTGGGTCGCTCTCGCGGTAGCCAGGTAGCCCCCCATACTAGTAGCACCAGCCATGGCCTCAGGGAGCGCGGGCGAGGGCGCTGGGAGCAACACGGACAAAAAGACATCAAAACTGGTCATGTTCACACCACCCGTATTGCTAGTCCTAATGACTGCACTCCATCCAAGTGCTCCAAGTGCCAAGAAATCACATGGTCATATGGGGACTCATACAGGAGCCATCGCAAGGCGCTGGGATACAGGGCGGGGACGAAGGCGAATCCGGACGCAATAACACCCCAGCAAGCGCGGACGGCATTTGCGATACTGCGAAAATATAGACGTGACGACGGAGGAGCTAGCACGTGGAGCTTTAGGATGTGCATATCGGCAAGCCAAAATAGCGAGCCGGAGGCTGTCCTGGTGCGTGAGCTAATCCTGAGCAACAATAAGAGACTGTACCACGGACGGAGCACATACTCCTTGCTGTGTGTCCCTACTGTACGGCATATTAAGATGCCGATAAATGCCTCAAGAGCCGAGTGGGGGCCGGAAGCCCAACACTCCCTCGCCAGGAAGCATCGCAACACACAGAGCTACATTGTATGTATGTATGTAGTAAGGTGAAGAACAGTCAGGCTCGGACTGGACACCAACGCGGAGCGCTACTGGCTACACACTTTTCGAGGGCACATGGAAGGCTGGAGACGAATTAATGTACTGGGACCTGTCCGCCATTAGCGGCTTCAACAAACCTGTGAAGATCGTGGCGGACAATGGCATCGATGCTGAGATCTCGTCGGCCGAGACGTGCGGTGGCGCAAACTCGGGCGTGTTCCCTTGCAACTACGGCCAAGACTGCGGGACCAAGGGCGATCACCCTTACAACCCCATCACGTGCCCGGGCTGCAATGAGCATTGCTGCGACCACATCCCTTCCGAGGGCACCTGCGACCCGCAGGCCTTCAACCCTGTCCGGTACGCGCCTGTAGTCACCTTCTGCCCGGCGTAAGTTCTAGAATGGCAGCACGGGGGACATTGCTTCTCCTTGTGTGTCGCTCTCCTGTGGCCCATGGATCGGCGGGCACTGCCGTGTGTGACACATGTTGTGGCACGTGAATGAGACAGAGCCGGCGCGCGCAGCGCGCGGCGGGGCGTTTTTTATGCAAACATGCGAACAACGCAGCCTCTAACTTCTAATTTAACGACACACTGGATAAGAATTCACTGCACGGGCTGGCGCACGGACAAAAGTACACCGCTCTCCGCTGGAGCCGCCCAAGCCACTCCTGCGAGGTGTGGTGATAAGAAGTGGCTGCGGCATGCAGGATGGAAAGGCGCTCTTGCTGTCTCCTCTCGGGAGACAACAAAGAGTGTCGTCCGATCGACTCTACACCCCCTGTGCGTATGCCCCGGTCTTGAGCACGTCCTCGCACGCTTGATCCGCCACGCACTGCGCCTGGGCCTTCTCGCCGTTCTCGCCGCCCGTCTGACGCTGCTTGCGCCGCCGCAGCGCTATGGCCGCCGCCGCGATTGCCACTGCGGACACGCCGCCCACCGCCGCCCCGGCTGCCACACCCGTCGGCGTCCCCCCACCGCCGCTCCGTCGGGCGGCCGCCAATGACCAAGGCGAGGGTGGGGCGGAGGGCGGCCGAGGTGGTGCCGGCGACGGCGGGCTGGGAGGGCCTGCCTTGCACGACGCGTGGCCCGTGCTGCACGGCGGCACGGCCGAAGGCGTATTGACGAGCGGATACCCATCTTCCAGCCACTGCACGATCCCGAGGCCGTCGTACACCTCGGTGAAGCCGGCGCTGACCAGTACTCCGGCGGCTTCCTTGGACCGCCTGCCCGAGTTGCAATAGACCGCCACCGCGCACCGCTTGCAGCCTTCAAGCTGCTCCGCGCCTGCGAGGCGTGCGGAAGGGGGCTGAGAGGCCTGGCAGTGAGGAGGTAGCGAGCTCGCTGGAGGTGACGAGTGGGCTGCAAGTAGTGGGGGAGGCAGCATCCAGACATTGGTACGAAACAACGACACGGCCAAGGTCTGGGCAGAGGAGAGGAGTTACCTGCCGCGGAGAAGCCGGCGGTGTTGAAACTGGCCAGCAACGTCGCGCCCGCGATGTGCCCCGCGTCCCACTCCTCCCTGCGGCGCACGTCGACGACCGCGCCGAATGCGCCGGCGTCGAGCTTAGCCTTGAGCTCCGCGGGCCCGATCGTCACGTACCCGTCTGCGTTCTTCCTCGCCGCGTATGGTGGAAGCAGCGGCGGCGGCGGAGGCATGGGCGGCGGCGGCGGCGGCGGCGGCGGCGGCGGTGCGGATGCTGGTGGTGACGGGACGACGACGACGCGAATCCGCTGACCTTGGCCGCAGTGGCTGCGAGAGATCCCCACAGAGCAAGCAAGCAGCAGTACGCCGGGCCGGTCCACCACCGCCTGAGAGAGGGCAGGGGCGTAGGTAGGGGTGAGCGAGGCTGGCGACGTCCCCCAACGGCTTGCACCACAAGCAGAGAGGCGCCTCGTAGAGGTTAGGCCAGGTGCCTTGGCCCCCTCCCTGCCCGAGGCCGGCCAGCTGTGTGGCGGCCGAAAAGTCGCACTCGCGGTACGCCTTCTCACCGGGGAGCAGCCACAGGTCGTGCGCGTAGTTATAGCGGAATTCGAGGGAAGTGCCCACCGCGACCTCCAGGCGGCTGTCGGGCGAGGAGCGCACGCCGCTCCAATACCGGCTGCTCTCCTCCCCGACGACAAGCCGAGCCGAGGCGCTCGCCGCCCCTGACCCGGCAATGAGCGACGCGGCGCCCAGGATGGCTGTGTCTTGTGACGGCGGTGGCGAGAGCGCCGATGGCGACGGCGACGGGGAGGGTGGCGACGGCAACGGTGGCGACGGCGGCGGTGGCGACGGCGGCGACGGCGGCAGGGCTGGGCAGCCCGCGCAATCACTCTCTCCCATCGGCATGTTGCAGATGTCACGGTAGGCAGCGGCTGCTATCTGTTGGAACGTTCCAGAGTAGGCGATGGTGGAGGAATCGTAGTTGGTCATGTGGCTAGCCGAAACAGCAGCCAGCTCCACCCAGGTAAAGACGCAGCAGAGCCGCTCCGTCCACACGGCTGCGTCTGCATCGGTCGTGGCCGCCATGGCGTCGACCGGAATCGCAAGAGTGCGGTGGGAGGCCGAGCCCGGCCGATCAGAGGAGCACCGAGGCACATTGTGCGGCGGCGGCGGTGGCAGGCGCGACGGCGGCGGTGCCACGCTGGCACTGCTGGGGGTGATGATGCGGACATTAGCGCACGACACAAAGTAGTAGAGATCGTAGAGCTGGAGCGTGCACGGCTGGTGTTCGCAGGCAGGCGTCTCGGGGATGATGACCTCGTGCGAGGTGTCGTAGGCATACTCCTGTGTTCCAATGTGCACGCCGAGGAGGTTGGCGGGGTCATCAAAGTTGTCGTCAGTGAGAGGAACGCGATTTAGCGAGATCCGAAACTTGTAGGGCGGGTGGCTCTGCGCCACTCCCCACCGGACCGTGAGTGGACCGGGCGTGAGTGTCGTGACTGGGCCGGTGCCAACGGCGTCGCCGCAAAAGCTGTCGCACTGCGCTCCATCGCAGCTTCCGTCGAAGGTGTAGAGGTAGTCGTTGTCAGTCCTTGGCGTGGGGGACTGGAGGACGACGTGCGTGGTGGCGAAGAGAGAGGCGGCGAGGAGCATGGCAAGGGGAGGAAGCTGTTGGGCTGCAGCAGTGGCTGCGTCCGTTCCGCGTCCTTCCGGAAGTGTTCTCCAGCTGAAAAAAAATAAGAGTCAGCGCTTCTCAGCTCCCCGGCCCTGGATATGTGAGGTTAATGACTGCGCTCCAAGTGCTCCAAGTGCGATGTGCTTGTGTCCGCCTTGCGTTTGTTTCATAACATCGAAGGCTAGCTCAAAAACAATAAGTAATACCTCCAACTGCCCCTGGGTTTTCAAACATAGGGGATCCAGCTCCAACCGTCCGGCCCCCCCGTCACCGGCGGCAGCGCGACGCTCCACGCGTCGTAGCTGGCCTTGAGGCTGGCGAGCAGGCCGGAGTAAGCGTGGCGGGTGGACAGGTCCGTCGTTTCCCCGCGGTCCCAGCTGAGGTTGTAGAGCTGGTCGGCCTGTCACAGCCGAGGATGGCACCGGCCGGATCCGTAAGAGAGTGAAACTGGGAGGGGGGGGGGGGGGGGGGAGGACAGGTGGCGTCGCCTTGCCGTCTGGCACGATCACCATCATTCGAGCACCATCATATCTGGTCCGGTGCTTCAGGTACCTACGGCAACAGTGCGACATTAGCCCCCCAGCTCCGACCAGCCCTCACGCATCGCCCGGCGCCAGAGCCAAGGCTCCACGTCATACTCCTTGTAAAAGTTCTCAAAGCAATCCTGACACTCGAGGCCTGGGCCTCGAGCGTCCTCCGCGGAGACGGGGTTGTCCGTGCTCGCCCCAGCCCACTCCTCGAGCGTCGCCGCCACGAGCGCCCCGTAGACGGCGTCGACCGCCGCCTCCGCCAGCGCCTCAGCAGCCGCCTCGCCCGCCTTAGAACCCGTGGCCTCATCTAAAAGATTGAAAGGGTGGGGCGCGCCAGCAGCGTCCGAGACCGGCGTCTCGGGCGGGGTAATGCCGGCGGGCCCCCATCTAGGGTACGATACTTCCGGGCCGGTGTGCGGGGAGCGAACCTTAACGACCGCCCAGAAGCTTTCTGAGCGAACCAATCGGGCCAGGATCATCAGCATATGTCCCCTCCACAACATCGTGGGCGTTTGAGCGGTATTTGAGGAGCACCGCGACTCTGAAGTTCGGCCGGGTGGTCTGCAGACCCCCCCCCCCGGAGCAGCAGAGGCTCCGTGGGGTCGAAAAGTCGACGCTGGGAGTCGCACTCGTCAAACCGTCGCAACACCACGCGGTACGCACATACCGCCCACATCCCCTCCACCGCTGAGAAGGCGCAGATCGACCGCCGGGCCGCGTAGCCGTCGTTAAGGAGCGGTTTTTGGAGCCGTACGAAGAGGTCCCAGACGGGCGAAGATGCGGTTTTTCGACGACCACACGCGATGTGGTATCTGGTTTTTGCTAAAAACGGGCCGCCTAGTGCAGCATCACTAGTACAACACGCAACCACACTGAAAGCTCCACACTAGCCGGTATAGGCGAGCGCCGACGGCGTCACGGTCGCCGGAGTGGACGCACTGCACACACACTGTGACCGTGTCGTGGGTGTGACAGTGCGCGACACAACCGTCGGCGCCGCGCTATCGCGGCGCCCCGCAGTCTACACGCCTCAGGCACACCCCTGAACGCGCCATGGGCGCGCAGATACACCGCAGCGCCGTGGAGAATCCACACCTGGCCGGTCCCGAGCCCCGTCCTGGGCCTCCAGGCGGCCGAAGATCGGCGTTCGGGCAGGATGAACTTGTCGGAAATGGAGCAAACTTGGCGCGGCTCGTCGCTCGCGGTACCGGGTGAGCCTGGATAGGGCAAAATCTGGGGTGAATACGAGGGACAGAGGTCGCAAGTTTGTCGCGCAAGTTTGCGCGGCGTGGCGCTGCCCCGCTGCCGAGGGCACCACCAACCCGTGGCGGCGGCATTTCCAGCCCAAATTGGGCGTTCCGTGCGCCTTGCCGGCGAGAGTGGACGGGCTGTGCATCGTGGGGGGGGGGTGAGTGGGAGGGAGGTGGTCGTGTGCCTACTTTGTCGGCCGCGCGCGAGGAAAATACTGGGTGTGAGGCGCGCAGGAGGCGAGGATGGGCGCGCCGGCGGTCGAGCCACCGAACAATTCGACGTGGCGCAGCTCCGCGCTGGTGGGCACGACCGAGCAGATGCTGTCGGCGGCGGTCACGCGACGAGGGAGAGCCGCAGGAGCCCTCTGTGGAGCAGGCGCGCGAAAGCAGCGATGAGTGGCGCTTCGTCAGCCACCTGTGGGCGGTCAGCGGGGTGACGCCACGCCTCAGCGAGCTGGATCCGGGAAGGGCAAGGGGTCACGCGGGCCCTGTCTGCAGCAGCAGTGCTAACTAAAACGACAAAATTCCGGATGGACCGGAGACTGTCTACTCTTTCGGCGCACCGTCCTCGACCGCGCTGAAAAGCTGGCTGGTGGTCGCCGCAGCGCGTCGGCGCGACTCCAACTGGTTGGGCACCTCGGGCTGGGTCCATCAGCAAGAGGCCCGCCCCGTCGGGCGGCCCCGGGAGCGCATGATGCCCCTCCGAGAGGCGCTGACGCCCCGCCGAGATCGCGCTGGTTTGGCACGAAAAACACGAGGCGCCAAGGGGGGGGTCAAGTATCGTACCCTAGACCCAATATGGGGCACGTCCAGGTCCATCAGCAGCGAGCGAGGGCGGGCCGCCCTCCTCCCCCTCCGCCGGCGCCGCGCCGCCGGTGGAAACCTCCTCCACGGGGTTGGGCCGCTCAGCAGCCAAACCCGCCGCGGTGTCGGGCCCCTTCTCGAGCCCCCCCCGCGACCCAAGAAGAAGAAGCACTTGGAGCACTTGGAGTGCAGTCGGTAACCTCACATCCAGGGCCGGTGAGCTGAGAAGCGCATCCAGCGGGCCGGATGATCGGGATCGGGTTACGGGCTAGAGAGCCCTAGCCCCGGGGGTGCGCGTTCGCAGGGCAAGGGCTGTAAAGTAAACACGGGTCTCCGAGAGGGCTCCGTGTACCGGGTTTCCCCTTAACTGCAGAACGCCCCCTCTACTCGGAGCTAGTGGACACGGACACTACGTCGGTAACCTCACATCCAGGGCCGGTGAGCTGAGAAGCGCATCCAGCGGGCCGGATGATCGGGATCGGGTTACGGGCTAGAGAGCCCTAGCCCCGGAGAAAACGCGCGAATTCTTTTGCCGGGCGACTCCTCGAACCACGCCGGGGTCTCAGGTCGCGTGGGTGCCGCGACAAGAGATGCCGCCGCCGCCACGCACCAAGAGCACGATCGGAAAGGCGTCTACCTCGGCCAGAGGAGGCCAGACGACGCTCCTCTCGCTCGCCAAGTCCGGCCAGTGGGGAGACGTGGGCGGCGAGGGCCAGCGGACTGGCCGCGGGGCTGCACGGCCGGGCGCGATGCGTCAGGCGAGCATCGCCGACATGTCCGGCGTGGTCAACTGGCGGCGAGGCGAGCGCGAACCGACTCTCGAGGGTGTGCCGACCACCCTTTACCTCGGCGAGGCGGACGTGCTCCGGATCAAAGAGCGGCTGAGCGCAGCGACGGAGGGCGGCGACGAGGGCGCGATCCTCGCGCTGCTGCAGAGACTCGCCGCGATGCCGTGCACGCGCCCGCTTCTCGAAAAGACGGTGCGCAGACACCTCCGCGCACCTTTCCACGACCGCACCTCGCAGGCGTTCTGATGCGGTTCCCCTGGGGTGCCTCTCTGTTCAGGACATCGGAGTCGTCGTTGGCAAGCTGCGGCGGCACGCGTCCGCGCCCGTGGCGCAGGTCATGCTTCACACAAGCACCGCCTCCCCCCACCCCTCAACCGCCCACCCTGCCTCCACCCTCCACCTCACCCTCCCCATTGCCGCCCTCACCGCAGCTCCCCATTGCCGCCCTCACCGCAGCTCCCCATTGCCGCCCTCACCGCAGCTCGCGGAGAGGCTCGTCAAGGTGTGGAAGGGGCAGCTCAAGGAGCACCGCGCGCAGCAGTCCGACTCGGCCGCTCGAGGCAGGCCAAAGGGCTGAGAGGTTGTGGTGGAGGTTCGGGATTTGTTCATGGCGGTTCGTCGGTTCGTTTGGTTCAAACGTCGAGCTGGCGCGTATGGCGGCCTCACCCGAGCCGGCCGACGCGGTCGCGCTCGACGAGACGCTTCGTGGTTGGGGCAAGGGCTGCAGGGCGGAGAGGTTGCGCGAGGGCGCCACCTCTGGACAGCTGAGCACGATCGTACGTTTTTCGGGCATTGGGGAGAGAGGGGCGTACAAAGTGAACAGCGACCGGTGGGTGTGTGGCATGGTGCACACAGGGGTGTCCTCTGTCGTTGCACGTTGGAGAGGGCGCACAAACGTTCTCGCCCTCGAGAGTCTCGCCCCCTCCCGCTCGCACGAGCACACGTCTCTCGCCCCTCCCGCAGCGTATCTATGTCCACGTCTCTATGCCATTATTAGAGTATCACGGCCCGACTGGTTGGGTAGTAGTCTAAGTTCTGAGCCTCGAGGCTGAGCGGGTCTAAGTGTGACTAGTCACGCTGGGGTGCTTACGCGGTCTAAGATCAGCGAGAGCCTCTTACATCGGCTAAGTCGGCCGTGGCACAGCCTGGGGCCAAGAGGCTCCCACCGTGATCAACGATACGGCGCTAGCCCCCAAATTTTCTTCGCCTGCGGCGGGCGCCTTCTAATCCGGATCGATCCTTCTCATGCTCAGCAATCGCCGCCTCAGCATCCTCCTCTTCCGATTCTCGTTGCTCTTCTTGAGCGCAATCTTCAAGCCAAACAGTTCTCACAAATAGCCTCAAGCTCAAACAAACGCATGTCAAGGAAGCCTGTGTATGCTGGTCCTCTTTGAACGATCCGCGCGTGAGGTAGATCTAGCATAGGGCCTTGTTGGCAGCAGCCAGCTTGTTGCGCTGCTTCGTTGCGATGAGCTGATTGGGATCGCAGAAGTGCATGCCAAGCACCGCCACGATCTTGAAGCAGAACACATCGCAACCGCATCGTCCGCACTGCCATCGGCATGCCGCGCCCGCCGCTTCGCCGCAGCCGCCTTAAGACACGCATAGCGGCAGCACATGGTACGGTGCGCGTACTTGAGCAGGAGTTGCGCGCCGCAAGTAGCGCACTGGCCCTGGGACAAGGCGATATGGCGTCGTGCGCGGCATACGTTGGTCGGGACGCGTCCAGGTATTTTTCGGGTAAACCTGGACTTTTGCAGGTACGTATACCCGGGTTTTACCCGGATTTGGCCTTGTGCCGTCTAAGTTCATGGCCCCCGACCATACAGCGTCTAAGTCCGAGCCCGGCTCCGTGCGGGGGCTAAGTTGAGCGCTCGCTCGCTGCAGAGGCTAAGTGTAGAGCGACCCTCTAGCCCTACTACCCAACCATTACGGCCCGCAGCGATGAGACAAAGAGCGGCCGCACATTGCTCGGTACCCCCCCTGCACTTCTAAGCCCGTCCCTGCGGAGGGGGGGGGTCTGACCCCCCCAGCAGCAGAGGGGGGGGGGGGGTCCCGACCCCCCCGGCAGCAGAACGCTGTTGGGGGGGGGGGGTCCCGACCCCCCCAGCAGCAGAGAGCACTGGACCCAGCTCCCGCCTCCCGCCGCCCCCCCTCCCGCCCCCTCGGCTCGTGTTTGAGCGGTACGCTCGAGGCGGTTGTGTTCACCGCGCCTTCGAGCCCAATACACCTTCGTCGTGTCGAGTGCTGGCGTTTTACTAAAGACTTGTGACCATGGTGAGTCTATCTTGTACTACCCCACACATAGGCGCGTATAGTGAGCCACTCACTCGGGCGTCTCGCTGACGTTGAATAAAATATTTTCCAATGCCCCTCTCACAGCACTGGGCACGGGACCGGCGCGCATTGGCACTAACACGGGTACACCACGGGAGCCGCCTAAGCGACTCCTGCGAGGACGACGGCGAGGCACTTAGCTCCGTCCCGTCCGGGTCCATAAAAGCGGCCCCTCACAGCTCACCTATGCCCCTCTCTACGTCAGGAGCGCGAAAGGAAAGGCCCGCGCCGTCGCCATCGGCGCCACCTCCTCCCAGGCGTTCGAGGCCGGGTCGTACCGCTCGACCGAGTGAGCCGGCCTTTCGAACTCAGCCTCGTCGTCCTCCTCAACCTCAGCCTCGTCGTCCTCCTCGACCCTGCCGCCCACAGCGTACAACTTGCCTTCCAGCGCCGCCACCCCGGCCCCGAAGCGAGCCAGTGTCAGCGGCGCCACCTCCTCCCACGCATCCGTCCCCGGGTCGTACCGCTCCACCGAGCTGAGGTAGCCATTGCTGTACCCGCTCACAGCATAGACCTTGCCGTCGAGCACCGCCACGCCATGAACACTCCGCGCCGCCGCCATCGGCGTCACTGTCTCCCACGCGTCCAGCGCCGGATCATACCGCTCGACCGAGCTGAGGTAGACGTCGTCGTCGTTATATCCTCCCACGGCGTACAGCTTGCCATCCAGCACCGCCGTGGCGTGATTAATCCGCGCCGTCGCCATCGGCGCCACCTCCTCCCACGCATTCTCCGCCGGATCGTACCGCTCCACCGAGCTGAGGTAGCCGTCGTCGTCGTTGCCGCCAACAGCATAGACCTTGCCGTCGAGCACTGCCACGGCGTGACTCTCGCGTGGTGTCGCCATCGGCGCCACCGCCTCCCACGCGTTCGTAGCCAGGTCGTACCGCTCCAAACGGTTGGAAGTTGCTCCGTGACCTTCGTCGTTTACCTTGCCGCCAGCCGCGTAAAGCGTGTTATCGAGCACCGCCGTGCCGACAAATCTTCGTGCAGTCAGCATCGGCGCCACAGCCTCCTCCTCCCACTCGTTTGTGGACGGGTCGTACCGCTCCAGCGAGTTGACAAACTCGCCATCAGTGTCGTCGCCGCCGATCACAAGCATGCGCGGCCTCTCGCGCTTCTTCAGCGTCTCCTTCCAGCCGCGGCGCCACGCGCGGCACGTCCCCTTGGCGGCGTGCTCCTTGGTCGGCAGCTGGGCGAGGATGTGCGGGGCGAGGTCCGGCGAGAGGAGGACCTCGGAGAGCACCCACTCGGGCTGCTCCACGAGCCGTGCGGCGTGCTCCTCCGCCACGCGCAGCGCGGCGTCGCTCGCGCCCGCCTGCGCCTCGATGATGGCGCACAGCTGCTCTGGCGAGAGGCCCGCGACGCGGGCGCCGATGCGGTGGGAGGCCATCGTGCGCGCGATTTCTTTTTCTTGTCAGAGAGTGCCGGATGGAGTCCGGCCGCGGGACTAGGGAAGTTCGCTCAGGATGTGTGGCAGCCGCCCTGTTGGCTGAGTGTCTTGTCTTGTGGTTCTGTGTGTCGCTCCTGTGTGACCGTCATCGCCCGTCTAGCGTCCACCCATACCGCGTTGGCGTCCCAGTCGTTGGTCGGACTGTGTTTCGCCTTCCCATCAATCAATCAATCAAGAGAGTGATTTGTTGTCTTTTCCGCTTTTTCCATCTTGCGGCAAATCCCCATAAGAGGTTAGCCTAGCAGCGAGTGGGCATCGCCTGCCGGTCGGCTGGGCACGAGCCAAGCACTTGGGAGACCGTCAACCGAGTCCGAGCGGCGCCTGAGGTGGGTGCCACGGCGTCTGCACGAAGGCGGATCACTGTGACAGTCGTGATTTCTTGTTGGTTAATAAAAATCTCTCTCGAAGGCGTGGCGGGGTGAGGAGCCAGGGGTGGTGAACACCTCCCCGTCGGGCGATTTCAACGGGTATTACTTCTTTGAGAAAGCCGCTTACCACCGCTGCTGTGCGAGTCCAACCCGCCGGCGACCGAAAAAGTGCTTGTTTTTGGCGCTGTGTTGGCGCAGCCGACGTGACGAGATTGCTTTGTGTGCACCATGGCTTCAATGGGTTTTGCGCTTGTCGCCACCGCGCTCTTCCCGGCCGCCGCTGCCCTCTCCGTCCAAGCACCGGCTCGGCGCCGCCTGGACGGGCCTCTCACGTGCCCAACGAGCGTGTGCGACTTCATCTGCGAGCCCTCCGAGTGCACCCTCCCGTCCTGCACCATGCTCTGCTCCGAGTGCTGCTCGCCGGCCGCGACGCCGCCGCCACCTGCGCCGCCTGCGGGCTCGCCACGTTACGTGGCGTGTGGCAGGACTGGCCGGTGCGACGAGAGCGACCGGTGGGCGGCTCCGTCCGAGAAGCACGAGGTGCGGTGTTGCTCCGACTCGCGAATCGACGGCTGGAAGAAGAAAGATGGGTGCTCCGTGTGGAGCGAGTCCGACGACGATGAGATGGGAGGCAAGTGCCACCACAACAAGAACTTTGCGCAGGCCTCGACCATCTGCGAGGACGCGGGCGCACGCCTGTGTACTCGGGCGGAGCTGCAGGGGAATTGCGCACGCGGGTCAGGCTGCGGCCACGACCGCGATCTGATCTGGTCAGGCACGGAGAGCGAGGCGGCCGTCCCCCCGCCGTCGGCTGTTCCACCGCCGCCCTCCTCGGCTGCTCCGCCGCCGCCCTCCTCGGCTGCTCCGCCGCCGCCCTCCTCGGCTGCTCCGCCGCCGCCCTCCTCGGCTGCTCCGCCGCCGCCCGTCGCCGCCTCGCCATCCGCCTCCCCCTCCTCCGGCTGCGACAGCGACGGATGGTGCCCAAGTCCAGACGGGCCCACGCAGCAGTGCCGCGATGACGCTGGGCCACCGTGGGCCGACGACCTGGAGACCTACGGCCCAAACGTCCGCTACCACGACAACACGCCCGCCGAGCCCATCCTGCCGGCAGATGGCGCGTGCCCCGGCGCCCTTGCCGGTGCGTGCGCCGCCAAGGGCGTCAAGGCCGCCTACCTCGACGGACCGATCGACTGCGGCGGGCAAGGCTGGTTCTGTCGCATCATGCCGCAGCCCGGCTGGGGCGACTGCAGCTACGGCGACTGCAATTTTGCCAACTGCGCCACTCCTGATGCGGACGAGCTCGACACGGACGGCCACTGCCACGGCTCGGACGATGACAGCACGTACGGCTGGTGGGTGCGCGATCACTGGTTTAGAGGCTATACAGGCACGCTGAACTGCTGCTGCGGGTGAGCGGCGCCCTTCGCCCGCGCCGCCTCCGACACCTTCCCTCGTCTCTGACCCGCGCCCTCTTTGCAGGTGGGGCGCGCCAATGTACGGCGTCGTCAACCGCTGTGACTACCGCAAGCCCGTCAGCGGGGACGAGGTCTCCACCTCCCGCCGAGGGAGGCGCCTGGGCTCTGCCCATGGTCTGCAGCCGAGAGAGTTCCACCGTAGGTTGCGACCTGCCGCGACGCAAACGAAGAGCACGACGTCGATTTCAACCCCACGTGCGACGCCCACCCTCTCAAGCCCGACCCCGTCACCAACGGCGGCATGTGCTGGACGGTGCGCAGTTTTGCTGCCAAGTGAGGTCCAAGGACCACACGAGGTCGACCTGAGGTCGACGCGGGCGACGAGGCGAGGGTGTGTCCTGGTGAAAGGGCGAGGGGAAGGCCAAGGCGTGGCGCGGCGGGCAAACCCGAGCGACATGCCGACATGTTCATTAAGTGTGTACCTACGGTCTTACGCCTGTGTGGCAGTACTGCTCTTCCCCCCGACGTGGCTCCTGTCTCTGCGCGTTTGCGCGCGCGCATGCTCACACCGGCCTATGTACGTATGTAGATTATGTGGATGTATTTTCTTTGGCGTGGAGATGCGAGGGTCGCCCACCGCCCCCCCTTGCCCGTGCCCCACCACTTTGTGTGTGTGGAGACGTTTTACCGCGGTCGCCAGCTCTCCAGCTCGTCGTTTGGTCACACTGGGGAGTTTTGTAGAGGTTGGGGTTGTTGTTGACCTCTTGACCGGTATAAAAGTCGACCTCCCTACTCCGCCCACGTTGAGCGTGGTGTCCCGCCAGTAAGTCGCACCCGTGGTTCAACCTCGCTAGCAGCCCTGTCCTGCCGTCCCACCGTTGTCTTTGGCCTCGGTTGTGGTACGCTTGCTCCCACGAGGTGACAAAGTCGATGCCTCGGTCGTTGTATCCGTCGATCACCAGTCCAGCTGCTCTCGGAGCACCCCCGGCCCCGCTTCGGACGTTCGGACCATGTCCCTCACCGACTTGCTCCGGTGGCACGTGGACAGGAAGGCTCGTCGCATCGCGTCGCTGTCGGTGGACCCTACCACCACCGCACCGTCAGGTATGGCGTCAGCGCACTCGCGGGTCGCAACCAGCCGCGCTCTTTGCTCAGAAGAGGTACTGTGTTCTAGTTGCTCGCCACGCGTCACCAGCCGGCTCGCTCCCGCTGCCACCCCCGCCTCGTACGGCGAGAGGGCGTCCGCATCAACTAAGATATAGGCCGCCGCCAGGCGCGGTCTCGCCTCCGGCGGGATGTCGTGCGCCTCTCCTACCTTCGCCGCGCGGACGTGGATGTCGCGCCGGAGGCGGGTGGGGAAGGCCTCTCCGCATATGCAGGCCGTAGTCGAACTCACCAGGGGTCCTCCTAACGCCCTCCCAACTGTCGGCTACAGGGCCTTCCAACCCCGCCACCGCATCCGTGTATCGGTCCCCGAGGACGGTGCCAGCCCGCCCGAGTGTACACCGGCCTCCGTTGACGCACGGGCAGATGGTCGGTGCTCGCTGACAGTCCATCTCGAGGCCGCCCGCCCCCTCCCCTCCCCCGAGTGTCTGTAGATGTCTCGCCACCGCAAATGCCGCCGCCGATAAGAGGGTGGAGACGGCGTCCTCCGTCTCTGTGGCGCCGGAGCCTCCGCCGCCCTCCTCGTCACCCTCTCTCGGCACGTCGCTGCTCCGGCGTCGCGAGCCGGCTCGTGAAGCCGTCCCCGAGCCACGGACATGGTCGCCTCGAAGATCGCGTCGACCGACGTCCCCGCCCATTTCCGCTCTGTTTTCTTTCTTTCTTTTTTTGCATGAAGGGGGTCCGTATCATGGGGGTCTGTGTCGCAACGGGCACAGCCAGCCCACGCCGCGCCACGCAAGCCCGTGCTGCTCATGTTGGCCTATTTCTTGGAGGAGGCAGGCAAGAAGGCGCCAAACGGCAAGCCGCACGAAGAACTCGGCGATGCCGCAATGGTCAACCCGCGTGCGAAGCACGCGACAAGACACAAATTCCTGCTCAAACGACTCGTCAAGACCCTTCGCTCGGCGTGGGGCATGCTCATCGAGATGGAGCCGACTGCACACCTCAGTTACAGTAACCCAAAACAACCTGACGTGGCGGCTGCTTGCAAAAAAAAAGGCGACGCGGGCAGGAAAGGCAAGAGGATTTCGCTCGCAAGGGTGTGCGGTACTGAGCCGCCGGTGGCGCTTTGCCGTACCAGTCGTTGGTCGGACTGTGTTTCGCCTTCCCATCAATGTTCGTTTACGTTGAGGTGATGTGGAGTCTGGCCGCGCGGCGGGCGGCGGGACGGACGTATAAGATAATGAATCGATGATGCGATCAGGCGTAACAAGCGCGATTGCACAAAGGGTGGAGGAGGGTCTGGCCACCGCGGGGCGAGGGAGGCGGCGGGCCAGATGCCGGATCCGCTGTGCGCGTTCGTCGGTCAGCGTCAGGGCGCGGCGCTGACCGCGGCGGCCTGGGCCGCGGCGGCGGCGAACGCCGACGGCGGCGGACCATTCCAGCGGCACCGTCCCCTCGTTTTTATTAGCCTACCGTCCCTGTGAAGTAATAAGGTAAACTTCTCCACAGACCACACGCACGTGAGGTGGTGCACGAGTGGCGTGAGTGAACGAGAGCAGTGAGCACCGTCATCGCTATCGGCGAGACGGAGGGAGCGACTAGGGTAGCGAGACAGGCTAGGGTGGCGCCTCCGCCACCTCACGCAAGCAGGCGCCAGAGGCGAGGGCGCACGCGCCAAACAAAGACGCGCGGCGTCGGTTCCCCTTCCGCCACTCCAGCGCACAGTCGGCCACCTCGCGCCATAGCAGCGGCGGCAACGCGCAGAGGTACGCGCCGCGCTCTCCTGTTCACAGTGCGGCGCTGTGAAGAGGCGCCGCTTCACAGCAGCGCGCAGAGGTTTGCGGGCCGCGCTCTCCGAGGTAGAGCGAGCCGAGGACGCACAGACCGATGCCCGCCTGCCGCACGCCCCACTCGCGGACGTTTGGCGCGCGCAGCGTGGTGGTCTGGCTGCCGCCGCCGAGCAGCTTCGCGACGCGCCGGCCGATTGGGATCTGGTTGAGCGTGAAGGGGCTCCATGCGCAGACCTGCGGCATGGAGAATGACTGAGTAACGATGAACAGTCATGGAGAGTGGCTGAGTAATGATGAATAGCCATTGAGAGTGAAAGGGTAATGATGAATAGTCAAGAATGCGTGTGCGGGAATACAAGAATTCGAAGGTGCTTGTCTAAGATGCGCAGACCGTCGCCACCGCGCCCGTCAGCAGCGCCAGCAGACCACACGCCAGCATCCAAGCCTGCACCCACCACTCGACTGCAAACGCGGCGGGCAGCGGCGGCGTCGCGGCGCCGCCGGCCGGTGGTGGCGCACGCGCTCTGCGGGAGGGGGAGGGGCGGGGCGAGGGCGAGGCGATCTCTGACCTCCTCGGGATCCAGCCGGCCTTCTCCGATGATGGCGGCGGCGGCGGAGGAGGAGGAGGTGGTGGTGGAGGAGGAGGAGAGGGCGAGGTCAGATGCGGCGAAGCCAGCGACGCCGCGGCGGTGAGCGCGAGGAGGAGGAGGAGGAGGGGGAGGAAGGGCCCACGGGCGGCGATTGGCTGCTTGGGCGGAGACAGCGGCGCGCTCTCCACCATCGCCGCGCCGCTCGCCTTGCCAGCTTTGCCGTCCTTGCCGTCCTTGCCGCCGGCCGTTGACCAGCCGCGGTATAGGGAGGCGGAGATCTCTGCCGCCTCGGAGAGAGGGATGGGGTCGCCGTACTTCCGGCCGTAGTCCGTCCGCCACGCGCGGGACCGATCCGCCGACCAGCACACGCCGCCGCCAACCTCCTCGTCGAGGCAGTAGCGGCCGACCGACCGCTCGCCGGACGCAAAGCGGTACGTGGCAGGCCCGTGCAGCTGCCCGCGCAGCCACGCGCCCTCGAGCGCGTCGCCGTTCGCGTACAGCAGCTTGCCGTCGCCGTGCCGCCACCCCGCGCGGTAGCCGCCGCGGTACAGGTCGCCGTTCGCGCAGTGGTACTCGCCCTGCCCCTCGCGCGCACCGCGGGCGAAGCCGCCGACGTACCGCTCTCCGCCGGCCACGAAGGTGCCCGAGCCGTGCGGAACGCCCTCGCACCACTCTCCCGCGTACATGCCCTCCTCGTACGTCATCGTCCCTCGCCCGTGCGGACGGCCGTCGGCATCGCGCTCGCCCGAGTAGCTTCTCGCGGCAGCCATGGGCGTCAGCAGTGGACAAAGACCGCAGCCCTCCACGCTTGGCGCGAGCAAGCGCAGCAGCGCACAGAACGGGGGGCCTGCGCAAGCAAAGAATTCTTCACGCGCGCTCTACACCCTCGTGGGTGGCGCGAATCCCTGTGTGGTGGCGGCGTGCCGTCCTCCCATCCCTCCCTTGGGTTGTCTGTTTTCTTTCTTTCTTTCTTTCTGGGTGGCGCGACAAGTGTTCGAAGAGAGAGTGGACCTGAGCAATAATATGACTGGGTGGCAAATGATAGCAGTGGGCGTCAGAAGACTCGTCCTTGCTCGAGGAGAGCTCGATAGACTCGAGGGGCCAGGATATGCAGCAAGGAGGGCGGAGCTGCGCCGAAAGGCGCAAGAAGCCGCGAGAGCAAGGGACCGGCAGGAGGCGGCGGCGCCGCAGAACGAAGCAGAGGAGAGCGACGCGACAGAAGAAGAAGAGACAAGGGAAAGAACGACGAGAAGGGGGCGACCGCGAGGTGGCATGAAGGTCGCAGCGAGAATCTGCGAGAGACTGCGAAGAGAGATAGGAAGAGGCGGACGCCCAAGGGTGGGCGACGGCTAGCGCATCACACCCCTCTCCTTAAAATCCCTGTGTGGTGGCGGCGTGCCGTCCTCCCATCCCTCCCTTGGGTTGTCTGTTTTCTTTCTTTCTTTTTTTGGGTGGCGCGCGGGTCGGACACAACAGCCCACGGTGGCGGGTCGCTGTTCAGCAGGCCCGACTTCCTGTCAGAATGGGCGGTATGGGCCTGACCAGTGCCATGGACATTCGTGAGGCGGCGTGGGTCGGCACGTGGGCCCTCGTCACGCGGCCGATCGATCGATACGCGAGCTACGAGCCATTCCGCGACCTCAACGTGGCCCTTGCGCCGGGAGATCCGCCGCGGCGCTCCTATCTCTCTCGTCGACTCCCTCGTCGTCGCACGTCTCGCTCACTGGCGGCTCGCTCTCCATCGAGTTCGTCGTCCCGCCTTCGCGGGGCGCTGGACTGTGGACGACTCCAGGCGTGTACCACACCCATTGTTAGACGGCGTGAAAAATCAAGTATAAGCGAGATACTGCATAGGCCCACCCTGCTTTCCCTAGGTCCTCCGACCCGTCTGTGTATGCCACCCAGTCGGGCGGGCGTCGTTGCGCTTGCTCTGCCAGTTGCTGCTGCTGTGGGCGAAGAGCGACCCCTGGTGCCTCTACCATTAGTCTCAGCTTGACCCGGCATGCCCCCCCTTCACCCTGAGGCGCTACACAGAGGAGTGCGACTGTGCTCACCGCGCAGCCGTTTGCCGCCACCCCTCGGACAGATTCGAGCGTCTCGGGGAGCTCGCACTCGGAATCTCGGATTCGCTGGAAAAGAAACCTGAGGAAGAGGCAGACGCCCAAGGGTGGGCGACGGCTAGCACCACACTCCTCTCCTTAAAATCCCTGTGTGGTGGCGGCGTGCCGTCCTCCCATCCCTCCCTTGGTGTGGTATGTATGTAGGAAGATGAACAACAGTCAGGCTCGGACTGGACACCAACGCGGTATGGGTGGACGCGGGACAGATGATGACGACACGCACGAACGACACACAGACACAAACAAGCTCACAAGACACACAGCCAGCTGGCTGCCACACGTGTGGTCTTTAGTTTTTTTTTTTAGAGCGCCTTCGTTGTTAATAGTACAAACCCAATGGTCCCTTGCTAGCGGTCCTTCGTTGCAGTCGCACACACTCACACGCCACGCCGCACCGCGCGCCCGCCCACTGCCCCGCCCAGGCGGGAAAGAGATGAGGAGATGGGGACAGCAAAGGAGGAGCCTCAAAGACGTATGGGAGGGTGGATTGTTTTTTCTTTTCACTAGAGTGAGGCCCTTGACGGGCCCCGCCCCCAATGGGGCGGGGTTGAATGGGCTAGCGCTGGCGTGGCGTTGACATGAGCACAAAGTTGCTAATGTGCGTAGACGAACAAACACAGAGTAGGGTTGAAATCGTCCACGTAAGGCTTAGGGAGTGCTTGGGGTGGCCTCAGGCATCCCCAAGGGAGTCGCAGCGGTGCCCCATAACGCATAAGCAGCTTAGCGATTGTCGAACCTCGAAGCGCGTTCGTTTGAAGAAGTCACCGGTAAACTTCGACACTTTGAGGGGTGAGAGCATGCATTATTGTGGCATATCATGTCACATAAGGTCGAGCTTGACCGCAGAAGCATCAAGAAGCGGATACTCCAGCTCGACTGTGCCGGCAAACTGCCTCCTCACGCCGGCCGGCTGCCAGCAGCCGTCGCGGCCCGTGGCGTGCTCCAGAGAGGGAGAGAGGTCGAGTCCGCATGGCTCAGGCCGGCCAGAAGGTGTGTGGCGACGGCACCGTGGCAGGAGTGCGGAGAAGAGCTCGCCGAACGCGAGCAGCGGAAGGCCGAAGTGTGCCAGCGCGAGAGCCTCGCGAACGGGTGCAGAAGGAGCTCGCCGTGACACGATGCCGGGCGGTGGTGGTGCTCTGGCGGCTGTGCACAGTGGGAAAGGTCAGGCTGCAACAGCGTAGCACGATGGTAGTGCCCCGCTGCAGCCTGGCCTGACATGCACAGGGCGAACAGAGACCTTGCTATCGCCTGGCGCTCGTCTGGGCAAACTTTGACCGCCGCCCGGCTCGCCACGAGCACGCAGCGACAAAATGATGACCGTGTCGAAGTTGAGGCTGGTCGAGAGGAAGAGGCTGCCGTGCGAGCCGGCAACTGGCTGGCTCGGCGTGAACGGCGGCGGCGACTTTTTGCCGAAGAGCGTGCCTGCCGAAGAGCGAGTCTGACTCAAAGTGCACGGAGTGGGTGCCGCCGACCGTCGGGAAGAGTCCGATGGGTGCCAGGAGGATCCAGAGAGCGATGAAGGCGCAAATTGCGCCGCCGAAAGCGGCGGTAGAGGCCAGGACGTGCGCGTGGGCCGGTCGGGCCACGTCCCGGGGCGAGCGATCGAGGGCCGCGGGGCTCGCCCCGCCGGCCGAGCGGTGCGAACGGCCGGTCGCCCGCTTCGGGTTGGACCCGCCGGGCGGTCCGGCGGCGGATGGCACGGCCGGGCGGGCCCCGGGAGGCAGGCGGGGCCGCGACAGGCGGCAGGGCAGAAAATCCCATTCGGAGAGCGTGTGGTCCGACCCCTCTGCTACTTTCAATGATAGGGACGAGGCGTAACCGCCGCGCCAGCCGCGATGGGGTCGCTCTTCAGCTGCAGCTTGCCCAGCAGCCCCGTCCCGCAAGGAGATCTCGAGGCGTATCTCGAGGCCACAAGTGCGTGGCGCCTGGCGCAAAGACGCCCGTCTTCCCTTGCCCTTCTCACCATGGCGCCCCGCACCCTGCCCCGCCCTGCAGTGGGGCCAGTCCTCGTGAAGCATCCGTGGACGCGGCTGCTCGGGCCATCGCAGCTGGTGGAGATGCACGAGGTGTTCTCGAAATTTGGTGCGTCCCCATGCGAACTCCACCGTCGCAGCCTCGTTGTCACTGCTATCTTCTTGGCCCTATGCAGACCGAGACGGCAACGGCCACATCGAGGCCAGGGAGCTGTCGAGCGTCATGCGACGCCTCGGGCTCAAGGCTAGCACGGAAGGAACAACTCAGATGATGGATGCGGCAGATGTGGACGGGAACGGGCAGGTGTCCTGCTGTCCCGCTCTCCCTCTCAAAGAGCCTGCCGTGCTGACTGCCACACGAGCTGCTACAGCGCCCTCGGCCCCCATCACGTCGCCGCCACCATCGTCCCCTGCCCCGTGCCCGCCGCCGCACTCGCAGATTGAGTTTCCAGAGTTTGTGCTCATCATGGGCAAGCGGGTTCTCGAGGAGGACGGCAGGGTGGAGCTCGAGTGTGCTTTCCGACTCCTTGCACAACAAGGGTCTGGGCTGGTGAAAGTAGAGGATGTGAAAGCGCTGCTGACGACGGCGGGCCAGGCGCATCGCTACTCAGCAAGACGGCGGCCGGCCACCCTGCCGTCCTCCTTGACCCCGGATGTGTTGCACCATAGCCGTTCACGGCGGAGGAGGCCGCGGCGTTCCACTCGACGCTGTCGCACCTGAGCAGCGACGTGTTGACCCGAGATCAATTCTTTTCGCTGGACTGCTGGAAGCTGCCCGAGCTGCACTCGGGGCCCACAGGGGAGCTCGCCGCGCCGTCATCACCGCCGTCGCCAGCGTCTCGGTCCCTACCACCGTCTCCAACGCCTCCCGCCTTTTCAGACGCCGCGCGGACAGGTTTCGGCTCCGCGCATGGCGCCATCATGCGATGAGCAGCGGCGTGGCGCCTTGCTCGTTGGCTTGGTTGATCGCCGCGCCGGCCTCGAGAAGCAGCCGGACGATGTCGAGGTGGCCCCTCTGGCACGCCATAGAGAGCGGCGTGGAGCCGTTCTTGTTGGCGCGGTTGACCTCGAAATTCTTTTGGCGAGATATATGTTTATTTTTTCGCGTGTCAGGATGGCGAGGAGAGACGCTCTCCTTCGACCTTGCCTGTCCTCGCCATGTCGGGCTTCTCGCTGCTACTACCCTTTCTGATGCTGTGCTTCTGCTGCCTACCCACCAGCCAATGGCTACCGCCGTTCTCGCGCAGCGCCGCGTCCCACGGCACGAGCCCGTGGGCGCTGCTCCGCAGGCGGATCGCAAGGAGCGCGCCCGTGCGCTTCTGCGTCGGCCGCGCACGGGCAGCGGTGCGTTGGGCGTACAGCATGGCTCGGACTACGCCGTTGCTGCGCCCTACCACTCCTCACGCCGTGTGGGAGCGGCTCTGCCGCAGGGCGAACAAGGAGCCGACCGAGGGCCCGCCCGACGTGTCGGCTGGAGCAGAGGCTGTGGGGCTCGGCCGCGCGCGAGGCTGCCCAGCTCCACGAGTGGCTCCACGTGAGTCGGAACACGACGCCCTTCATCGAGGCGTGTGTCGAGAAGCTGGTCTCGAGGTGCACCGACGGCCGTCATAGTGACTACCTTGCTTACGCAGACCTCGAGGCGGGGCCGAGGCTGACGAGGATGTCATCTGTGCCCCTCGTCGAGCAGTCCCAGGTGTCGCTGAACCTGGGAGATTTGCTTCGCTTCTGCCTCAACGAGCAGGGCGCGGGGGGGCGCATGCTCTGGGAGGAGTGGAAGCTCGCTCTCCGCGCCCTCCGCTCAAAGGAGAAGCATCGCAACGCGTCAGTCCACCGCGACTCTGCCTCGAGGCAAGCGCGGGACATCCCGCTCGATTCTCGCTCGAGGGGGCCGGCCGAGGCGGTCGAGTCTGAGCCCATCTCGGTGCACGAGTTCGCCGCCCTGCTGCTCTCGCCGTGCAACAGCGCCATCGAGCGGAGGAGCGCCCCCACGGAGGACGCGACCGAGCCGCTCGCCAGCTACTGGATCGCCTCGTCGCACAACAGCTTCCTCGAGGGCGACCAGCTGACCTCCGGCGTGTCTTCCGACATGTACCGCCGCCTCCTCCTCTCGGGGACTCGCTGCCTCGAGATCGACTGCTGGGACCCCACCGCCTTTGGGCGGTGGTGGGGCCAGGGACCGCGCGTCACTCACCGCATGACGGGCGGGGTCTCTCTCCTCTGCGGAAGCGTAGCCTTCGGCGAGGTGGTCGCTGCGATCGCCGAGCATGCCTTCACCGCCAGCCCTCTCCCCGTGATCCTGAGCATCGAGATGCACTGCTCGGCGAAGCAGCAGAGGAAGATCGCCAAGGAGCTCTGTGACACGCTCGGCGACCTTCTCTCGCGCAGCGACCGCGTCGCGAGCACGCCCCTCCGTGATCTGCACCGGAAGGTCCTCGTCAAGATGCGGCTAAGGGGCTCTCGGGCACACCTTGGGGCATATCTCGGGCACATCTCGACTGTAGGTCCTCGTCAAAATGCGGCTCGACGAGGGAGGGGTGACCACGGACCCGCTCCTTCGTCAGCTCGTCACGCTGCCCACGAGCTCCATCGGCCAATCGCCGCCCGAGGAGTCCGAGTCCACGAGGCCCTCCACGCAGATGTCCGAGTGTTCCCTCGGGTCTCTAAGCTCGACCTGCCTGCACCGCGGCTCGTCGATAGCGGAGCAAGCGAGCGCTAGTGAACGCCCAGGGAACCGATATGCCTTACAGTATTCTTATACAATACTCAGGTCCCGCTAGCAGCGGAGGAACCGACGAGCGAGCTTTCGGGCGCCAGGGTGCCGCGCCGCGGTGTCGTGAACTTGTCCGAGGAGCGGCTAGAGCGGTTGTTGAGCGAGCAGGGAGGCTGGCTGCCCCTCACGGCCTCGCAGCTCGTCAGAACCTACCCCTCTCCGACTCGGTGGTGGTCGAGCAACAACGATCCACTCGTGCGCACCCGCCCTCGCCCTCACCACCTCTCCCGAACCCATGCGCCCTTTCCGCTTCATGAGTGAAGTTCCCTCCCTCACCCGCAGGCGGCGTGGCGCGCGGGTGTGCAGATGGTGGCGCTCAACATGCAAACGAACGACGCTCTCCACGGTCTGCCGGTGCAACTCCACGACGCTCTCTTTCACGGCAGCGGCGGCTATGTCCTCAAGCCCACGGCACTCCGTGAGCCCGATCGGGCGCTCCCACCCCCGACCCCAACCAACAGAGGCCCCATGACCCCGGGTCGCGGTGGCTTTGGTGGCGATCGGGTGTCGCGCGAGGGCAGCCTGGCCCGCTCATCTTCGGAGAGGGAGCTCGGCCACTCTCTGACAGGGCGAAGGAAGCTTTGGCCGCCGCCGCGGGAGGAGTGGGAGGAGGTGCATCGGACGGAGCTGAGGGCGCGCGCTCGTGCCGCCCCACCGGCCCTCCCTCTCGTCAGCTCACCGAGCGAGCCACCGCCTTTAGGTGCTCTCCCTGCACCAGCTTCCGACGCGGGACGAGTGCCGGCCCCTCCTCGCTGAGCCGCACTACCCCTTCGTCTCGCACCTCAGCGACAGCCCCCGCCCGCCCAGCGGGTCCCGCGCCAGCGTATCGAGCCCGCGCGTCGCCGTCGAGCTGCACGCAATTGGAGGCTTCTGCGCGGTCGCACGCGAGCCGCAGCCACCGCCCGAGGCGCAGGGCGTGACTCGGCTCGTCACCGCGGTCGCAGCGGGCAACGGCCTCAACCCGAGCTTTGACGAGACCTTCCACTGCCTCGCGGCCGAGCCTCACCAGACCATCCTCCGGGTGGTGGTGGAGGATGAGGGGCGGCTGGTGGCGTACGAGACGGCGGTGCTCGGCTCCCTCCGCTGCGGCTACCGCTGCCTGCACCTGCGCTCGCCCAGCGGCACGCGGATCGACTCGTGCTGCCTCCTGCTGCACATCTCCGTCTCCACCGAGCCAAACACCTACGGCACTGTCGACGAGCTGAGCAGCATGATGAAGCTCAGCCGCGTCGAGGCCCTGACTGAGGAGCGGCTCGACCTCGCCTCCGCCACCGATCTCGGCGTGAGCGAGGAGAAGCTGGAGAATTGGCGCGAGCTCGGCGGCGGCGCTCTCGAGCCAGTCCTCAGAGTCCTCGCGAGCGGCGCCGTCGAACCGGTTGTCGCCCTCCTCGACGCGCAGTGGATCATCAACCACGCCGAGGCGCGGACCGGGTGGTTGTGGCAGCGGCGGCGGGCGGGCGGCGTCCTCACCCACCGCCAGGCGCTGCCCAAGGAGGCCTTCCTCTCCCTCGCCGACCTCGTTGAGGCGACCAAGTATGAGCTTCCCGTCGCCGCGCTCTCCTACCCGTGGCTGACCAAGGACCACCCCGACCCGCGCGGAGCCAACCTCTCCCGCGTCGCAAGGGCGCTCAAGGCTCTGCTCACCAGCCCCGACATCCCGCGGCTCGGCGTCTTTTGGGACTTCGGCTCGCTGCACCAGCACCCCGACCGCCCCAACGGCGTCATGCGCACCGAGGAGCAGAACGCGCTCTTCAAGCAGGGACTGGACTGCCTCGGCACGCTCTACTCCCACCAGCACACTTTCGTGCTGCGGCTGACCTCCTTCCCGGACGGCCACAAGGCGGAGGACCAGGCCGAGGGCACCAACGTGGCCAAGTACTTTGACCGCGGCTGGTGCTTCACTGAGCAGAGCTGGGCGAGCCTGACAAAGGCCAGCAGCCTCTCGCTCGATCTCGGCCTGATGCGCGACGGTGAGGAGTACGACTGGGCCAGCCTCATCGGCGAGTGCATCCAGGGCGGCGGCCGGCGCCCTCCGCTGCTGCCGTCTGTGTTCGCGGCGGAGCTGGAGTCGAAGAGCTTCACCAATGGCAAGGACGACAAGCCGAAAGTGAAGCGGCTGTACGAGGCCACCTTCGAGAAGCAGTTTGGCAAGGCGACCCTGCTGATATACCGCTTCCTCGGCTGGGGCGACGCGGAGGCGGCGCAGCTGGCGGAGGTCCTCGCGAGCGGGGCAGCGCCGCGGCTCGAAAAGCTCTCTCTCCGGGCCAACAAGATTGGCGACAGGGGCTGCAACGCGCTGGCTGCCGCCCTCGGCAAAGAGGGGGCAGCGCCGCGGCTCGTGGAGCTTGAACTCTGCCGCAACAAGATCGGCGACAAGGGCTGCAAGGCGCTGGTCGCCACCCTCGGCAAGGAGGGGGCAGCGCCGCGGCTCAAGGAGCTCAATCTCCGCAGCAACCCGATTGGCGACGAGGGCCACAAGGCGCTGGCCGCCGCCCTCAAGGAGGGGGCCGCCCCGAGCTTGAAGGCGCGAGACGCCGATATATCCGATATATCGCCCCGCTCCGCCCAATGCTCATCGCACCTCCCCTCGCGTGCAGGCGCTCTACGTGGGCAGCAAGCCGGCCGAGCTGGTGGCCGCGTGCGAGGAGCGGGGAATCACGCTTGAGTGAGCCGCTCGCAACACTCGACGCAAGACGCAACTGAATCGGCTGAATCGTCAATGTGCAACTGAGATCTGAGAATACTGTTACTGTATACGTGGCTGGGTCTTTAGGCATTGTGGGGTTAGCACTCCCATCGACCCTCATGACCTCCTGCGGTCTCTG